ACACTGTGCACATGGACTCACACTTGTCCCGAACGCAACAGAAAGTGTGGAATTTCTTGTACAAATCATCGTTAAATACACATTTGTGCTTCGGTACGTTGCAGACTGACCCACTGTTTGTGTCTCGCTCCTTCTGATGCAGAGACACATGTACAGACCTGTTTGGTCACGACACACACAGCAACCTACATTTGGTTTGTCGATTAAAATGAATGTAATCAATGAAATTCTTAATGATCAATTATCGATTAATCGACTAATCATGCCCATCCCTAGCTAGAGGTGTGCAAAAATATCGGAATATCGATATATCGTATCGTTTAATGTGATGATACAGTATCAATATCATGGGCTACTGTATCGATATATCAGCAAGAGTATTTTTAGGTGTGTTTTACTAAATAATTTTGTTACAGAGCTACAGTTTTGTTGCTTGTGGAGTGAAAGGAAACTCATTTATGCAACACATTTGACATTTTCACTGTTTTGATTAAAATGTTTGTGTTTCATATGAACTTTGCACAAGAAGTGGTTTAACAAAGACTTTTAGTATCACAGACATGATTTAGCTTTTAATTTTTTATTGAACCGTATCGAATCAATTTGAAATATATCATATCGAATCGAAAGTGCACTGTATCGAGATATGTATCGTATCGTGGCCTGTGTAACGAGGTATGTATCGTATCGGCAACTTCTTAATGATACCCAGCCCTAGTATGGGCAGTGCAAAAGTAGCAGTGCAAAGAGAAAGTGCTGTTGACATGAGTTATTAAAGTGGCCGGTGTTATAAAGTGTTCATGAGTCCAGAGTCCAGCAGAGGGGAAGAAACTGTTCATGAGGCGAAAGGTTCTTGTCTGTAGCTCCGGTCATGGAAACTAAATATAGAGCATATGTTTGTCTGCAAATGTGGTATTATTGCACATAATGCAGAAACAATTTAGAGCTGTTGGTCTGAGTCGTTTAATCGATTAATAAGTCTATAGTGTCTTAGTCAACCAAAATTTTTCATGGTTGACTAAACATTACAAACTAGTGAGTGAGTGGCTTAGCTGAAGGTTTGGTATTTATAGGCAGTGTTGGGAAGGTGACTTTTCAAATGTATTCCCCTACAGATTACAGATTACATACCCCAAAATGTACTTACTTAAAGTGAGTAAAGTAATCTGATTACTTTGGATTACTTGATATTGTTATGTTTTTTTTTTAACTATATGAATGTAGCAACACATCTTGAAAATTCTTGTTTGTTTTAAATTGTCTGTTGAGCCCAAGTCTCCATGAATAAACAACTGTTTACTGTAAAGTAGCAAAGACGTGGAAATCTTAATATAAGATGTTTTGTCCTGGTTTTAGTTCCTAGTTTAGTCCTGGTTTAGACCTGGTTCAGTCCTAGTTTAGTTCTGGTTTAGACCTGGTTCAGTCCTAGTTTAATTCTGGTTTAGACCTGGTTTTAGTCTTAGTTTAGTCCTGGTTTAGACCTGTTTCAGTCCTAGTTTAGTCCTGGTTTTAGTCCTGGTTTTAGTCCTGGTTTTAGTCCTGGTTTAGACCTGGTTTTAGTCTTAGTTTAGTCCTGGACTGGTGTAGTCCTGGTTTTAGTCCTGGTGTTAGTTCTGGTTTAGAGGCACACAGGAGAACAGTGGGGTTGTATGGAAGGAGACGTGGGATATAGTCCCAAAATGTGAAAATGTGACAGAAAAATACCATCATGTAATCCATTTATTTGAACAAAGTAACTGTAATCCAATTACCACTCACTGAAACAGTAACTGTAACTGAATACAGTTACTCATAATTTGTACTCTGATTACGTAACTCTGGAACATGTAATCTGTTACTCCCCAACACTGTTTATAGGTATATGTAAAAAGGCAGATTAAACTTACATAACATATAACATATAACTTTTTTTTTTTTTTTTTTTTTTAAACACAGATATCATTCGTCTCGAGATATTTCGTTGCTGTCCGTTTGCTGCAGTTAAGGTATTTGTTGACATGAGAACATAAACTGTAGCAGACAGATGTGGTATGTGGTTTGAGTAATAGGGGAGATGTCAAGTTGCACTGGACCAGGGGAGGACTGAAGGGGTAATAAGCCTATGGGGCGTGCTCATTATTTACTGACAAGATCCTGGCTCAGGTGAAAAAGGGAAAGAAGAATTTATGTTATGTATCTACTTTTCTTTTGGCCCATGTGTCAAAGTTAATTAAATTATTTTCATTTTTCTTTTTTGTTAGAAAATAGTGAAGTCTAGTCATTTGTACCTCAGCAAGTTGTCTTTTCCCTCAGAGGCAGGCCCCTAGATAACAAGCAAAAAGAGCTTCTTGAGCCTCTGTGCTTCCTGTATGCCACATTTATAATTGCCGTGGAAGGAAGTGACTCATTTTAACTGAATGGCAAAGTGGTATTACTCTGTGGATCTTATCCATTGTAACATGGATTATCTTCCTGTTTGTCACTTTGGGTGTTACATTTTAATACTAATGTTTCTCTTTCTTTTTAACATGGACAGAGGAAAAGACTGCTTAAAATGATGATAAAATAGTCAAATTGAATAAGATGAAAAGATGAATGCCTTGCTGTGGAACAAGGCAAAGCAATAACATCTTCATGGAGACACACCCTCCATCATAAAAGTTAGAGCATCTGTGTCTAGAGCCTGTAGGACTAGTGGGACCTGGTTGAGGATTAGTGTGAGTAATGTGCAGTTACCGTACACCCATTTATTAGTTTTAAATTTATTCAGTTTTTTTTGTCATGGACCATGAACATCATTGGGCCTTATTCATAAATCTTTTCTTAAAAATGTTCGCAACTTCCACTTTAAGAAGATGCTGAGAGAACTCTGCGCCAGATTCACAAAGCATTCTTACACAGACAAATTCACCCAGCTACAAACACCTCCATGCTCATCTGTATTTCATTTACATAGAAAATGACTATGTATTTGGGTAGAAACGCCCTCTGAACTTCCATATATGGCCAATATGGGTTTGGCATTATGACATGTGAAAGTGTGAGGGAGAGTGAATGAGGTTTTACAGCTTCAGCTGCAATTTCAAATGTCTAAACTCACATGAACATTTAAGTCATAAACTTCTATAAGTAAATATAATAGTGAGGGAGTCCAGCGCTGTAACCAGGCACAAGGCTGTGACAGTAGCCCATACAGAGAGCACTGGGGCTGGGACAGACTGAAGCTCAACTGCACCCTATATAAAGTCTGTTAGACTCAGTAGACACATGCTCTATAAAACGCCTCATAAATGTTATTGGATCACATAGTATGGGTATAGGAAATTACTTACCATCATGGAGGAATCAGAATTATTTGTTGCATTGTCAGAGTAATACTTTTCTAAAACTGTAGATTTTCTGTTCTCACGAGTGCTCCTGACTGTTCATAGGATTTGCTCTTCCAGAAGAACATTTTCAGTTTAAAAAAAGGTTTGTGAATGCCAAAAATGTTTGTTAAAAGATCTAAAGTACAAAGAATGTTTCATAAATGAGGCCCACTGTCCTTTTTTTCTTTTTTTTTTTCTTGCTGTGCTGTCACCTATTTTCATTTCATTCCAATGTGTAGTGATGTCCACGTTAATTTTCATTCATTACTTTAACACGTATTTATCTTCTTAGTGCAACCATGCTCTTAAATTTACAGGACTGGCACAAAAAAAACCTTTGAATTTAAACTTGTATTGGGTGTAAAAATATATGTGCTGTTTCTACCACTGAATCATGCTTCCTCTGCCTCATTGCTGTACTCATCCGTCATGATCACCCACAGCCCCCAAGTGCATTATGGGGCTGTGCTTTGCTGAGGGCGAGTGCAGAAGACCTCCAGGGTCAAACACAGAGCCTTACAAACAAGAAAGTGTCAAGAGAGCTCTATAATGGTCTGCTTTTATGCTGGTCTGAGCAGATTACCACAGAGGATATGTATTGGGTTATTCGCCTAGTTTTTCCTTTACCGTGGGTCACGCTCTGACATGTTCCAGGGTCATGAGTTTCAATATTGTGGGAGGTTACAGCTCAAGTGGTTCTGATTTCCATAGTACTGTGCTCAATGCAGATTGTGCTAGAGAGGTGCAACTACACTGGCAATTTTACTTACTTGTTTACACACAAAACACCACTTAATACTCAAATTATGTTTTTTCTGTGTTTTTCAGCTTTCAGGGGCTTGACACTGTAGCTCGAGCTGCACAATATACAGCAGGCGAATCAAAATAGCAGTTTAATCAGTGTAATTATTAAAGCAAGGCTGCAGTTATTTAGACAATACTGTCCTCTGGAAATATCCTGTTGTATACATATTTTTTTACCAGTAGTACGCAAGGCAAATGTATTTATTAAGCACAATTCATGTCTGTGGACCCCTAATATGTTCTGATGTTCATGGGAATCTTCTGTTATTTTATCAGTTCTTATTTCAGTCTTCTCTCAAATGTTTGCAGAGATTTGCAAACAGTAGACAGTTAAAGTAATGACAAATACAATACTATAGAAATGTGTAAATATAATAGTAGAGTAGTTGAAGTGTGTTAAATTGTGTATGCTTTATTGAACCATCCCTGCATGTCATAGATTTTCTGAAGGTCTCTCGTGGCACTATTTCTTCTCTTCAAGTATTCATTTTAGGCTTAATAAATGGCAGTTCTTTTGTTTGTTCTTGGTTTAAAGCTTTTGCTCAACTAAAATTCCCTCTGAGCAGTGCCTTAATTCTATAAATCTTGTTCTTTTACGATAGTAACACTGGACCAAGTCAAAACAGATTATAACCTGTCTCAGTGTACAATTTGTAAGACATAAGGTACACCATTTGACCCATCTACTGATCTTGAGTCAGGCTTGGTCAGGACTAGGTCAAAGAGGTGTATCCATGTGGAGTGCAGTGACGCTATTGAAAAAAAGTTGCATGTATTTTAATTGGAATGATTATGTGTTCATCATACGGAGGACGGGCATGCAGTTCAAATGTGTTTTTTCTCTTTCAGATTCTTATATTTCTGAAGTAACTGTGGAGAAGCCCCACACAAAGGTGACGAGTACGGGATCTAGGAGGTCCCCACCAACAGGGGGCAGCAGCAGGCATGCACGACTCCACCTCTGACGGAAACATGGCTAAGCAGGTCAGTCAAATGTAAAATGAACATTGGTTCCCACACATTAAATACCAATTTAATAGCTTCTGTTCTTTTAGACTATTTACATGCACCCATAAGTATGGTAGCCAAAAATAGTACCCAAGTATGAATACAGTCTCTTCAAAATAACATATACAAATAACAAAATAACTCAAGTAGAAGTATCAAGTTGTGGTCCAAAAAATTACACAAATAAGGATAGAGAAAAAGTATTTGGAAAAACTAGTGCTCAAATAAGCGTAAATAATCATTATTATAATTATAATCATTTGAATTAATTTGAAAACACTGGTATTTTCAACAGAAATAAAACAAAAAAGAGAAAAACTAAACCATATCTGAAAGAGTGGTGAAAGTAACCTAAATACTCATTTAATAATAGCAATATCAACTTTTATCAAGTAGAAGTACCGTTACTTTTAATGAGAAATATTACTCAAGTAAGCATAAAAGAATGCTGCTAGAAAACTACTCTGAAAAAAACAAATTACTCAAGTAAATGTATAAAGTACAGGTAAGTGAGTACTACCTATCTGTTTTAATTAGTTACAACTGTGAGATGTGTTTCCTCAACCTCTTTTCATTCATCAGGAGCAGAACTCCAAACATGTGGATGATCATAAAGAAATAGACAACATGTCAGAGAAGACGTCTCCCAACAAGAACCTCAAGTCTCCACAGAAGGGCTCCAAGCGCATCAAAATGGCACCCTTCAAAGTGACCCTACTGGACTCCACAGAGTTTGAATCAGAAATTGAGGTATGCAGAACTATTGACTTTTACACTGGTTTTGATATGCTTTGACCTCAGATATGTTAATAATAAATTAGTAATTCTCTTTGTTGATGCTGCTATGGGCAGTGTTACAGAGAATGCAGAGAGTCAGTGTCATGCAGCGAGCTCTCCAAAGCACCACACAGTAAAACAGCCTTAGGCACTTTATAGTCTCCATAATAGATCAGATACATGTGCTGCTTCTGCATCACTGGGAGACTGAGCTACACACTGACCAGTGACCAGTGATAATGTAGCTTTAAACAATAAACAAAATAAATAAATCCAATGTCACTAAACAATAAAATCAAAATAATATATGAAATGGATTAATGATGAATACAAATATAAAGACGTCTTTAAAATATCCAAATATCAAATAGTATGAATCTGTGCTGAAGCACAGACTTCACATTGCTGTGCACAAAATCCAGTAAGTTTAAAAGTTCTGCAATGCACATATATTTGTTTGCACTTGGTTACACACACAAAATACAAAACCTCAAACTGTGCTTTGCCACATTTGACCAAACTGTCTGTATATTTTCAAGAGTATAAAAAACTCCTGTTACCACAACCCAGCGAGAGAACTTCTGTTCTGTGGTCTGCCTCTGCTCAACTGGAAAATTTCACAGCTCTGACTGGAGGCTGTACTAGCAGAATGTCATCACCTTAAAAAAAGTTTTCTTTCTGTGATCAACATTTCAACTGTGGTGAATTTTGTGTAAATTTCATTTGCACACTTCAGAATATAAGAACATTTGAGGCACTTTGTTGCTCTTGGGACACAGTACGTTTTTTAAAAGTGAGTTTGCTAAGGCCAAGTAGACTTCTGCATACTCTCAGTAGTAGAGCTGCATTAAAGGTAGTATTGACTATTGCAACCTGACAGAGCTGGGAAGTTGAAATGCACAGAGGAGATATTCCCTTTTGCTCAGACAGTAAGTAAGTCTGAGTTTAAATTGAATACAAAACCATTATAGGGAAATCTGAGATGATGATGCTGTATTTGTGGAGAAGGGAGACAATTTCAAAACACTTTCTGCATCATGGATCACATATAACAATCTGACTTTCAACAACTGGTCCAATGGATCACAATGGAACCTACCTGGATGACTGAGGGATTACACAGATATAAGTCTGAATGGTAATATTAAAGAAAGTACTACGATTTAATGTTGAAATGGCATTCTGTTGTTTGGAAAGAGTGTTTTTACTTACCATTGTGGTATAGGAATTGGAATTGAGTCTTTACCCGTACTAACCCAGCAGCTTTTGGATGTTTTTGCACTGTGAATTTTGCCTATAACATTCATTGACTTTCAGTCCAAAAGGTAGCACTTTTTCACTGTAAACCAACAGCTTTCTAAAAGTGATGTCAGTCATTAGTGCGGGCCAGGTGCACCTAACAAGAAAATAGACACTTTTTTTTCTTCTTCTTCCTTTCATGAAGCTTTAGGACACACGTCAGAGGCATGCTTTCAAAGTGTGGAATGTTTCATGTGCACCAACACCTCTTCAAGAAAATACAACACAAAATACCCCCAGGGCTTTCCATACCACAAAGCTCCACTCAGATCTGACAGGCACAAGTCACACCCCCTGACTGTTATTCCCACACAGTACTTCAAGTAGACATTTTATGGCTAATACCACACACATAATATTGCAGATTTCATATATGGGTCCGGTCAAGTGGTAACGGAGGGAAACGGGCAGATTTTTGACATTCAAATGTCTCTTATTCAGAAACTAGAGGGACTATTGAAATAAGTAAAGTATCAGAATGTAGGAAAGAGTTACACTCCAACAGGGTCAAGTTAAACCTGTGATATTCTTTCAAGTTGTTGACAAAAAAAATTTAAAAACTCATGTCGGTAACGGAGGGAATGAAATATGCAGCACTTTTTGGGCAATAAATCCAAACAGTGATAACTCTTGGTTCTCACTTCCATATCCTTAACAAACTGGTTTGAATATTTGCTTCATATAGTTTTCTACCATATGGTACAAGATTAGGTTGAAAAACCTCTTACTTTTTGACTAATGAGATTTTTTATTAAGAAAGGTCATGGTAACGGAGGGAAAAGTAACGGAGGGAAAATTGTGCAAACAAGTAGAAGGTGCAGGATTTTACATCATTTGTCGCTTTTTTCTTCTGAATACTTTAATATTACTTCAAAAAGGAAAGGAAACTATTTCTATAAAATATGTCAGTCCTTCCAAGCAAATTTTTATCATTTTAAATACTTTTTTTTTTTTTTTTTTAATCATGTCCCTTCATCAACAGTTCAAAGATGGAATAACACAAGATATGATGAAATACATCCATTTATTGACATGATTTGCAGGTCTTTGAAATTTGGGCAATAATTTTTGTTACATGTTTCATACATGGTCTGTTTAAAACGTATGGAACTTTAGAACCAAAAATGGTACAGAAAAAGGTCAACAGTTTCATAAACTAGAGTACATATGTATCTGTTCAATACATTTTTATATCAGATGCATTAACTTTAATTTTTGGCCTTGCTGTTTACTTCTGCTTGACCGGGACCATATACTTGTAGCTATATTGCACTTTTTAGTATTTGCACTGGTTCTAGGATCATGTGAGACCATTGGAGTTTGCACGTTCTCTCTGCGCCTGAGTGGAGTTTCCTTGGATACAGAGGTTTCCCTAAAATGAAGGAAAGGAGTGAAGAAAACAATGGAAACCGAGACCCTGGTTTTCTTTATTAATCTTAAGCCAATGATGTTTATAAAATTAGATCTAAGACTAAGAGCAAGCTTTATTGGGTCTTTGGGTATACTTTGGGACTCCTCTAGGAGTTCCATTTTCCCTGATCAAACTTGCACACAACCTAATAGTGTTGTACAAATGTGTAACTCAATTTCGATACTAAGGAATATACTTGATATTCAATACCACTTCCAATACTATGATGATAATAAAAGCACAACAGAATGACATTTTCAACATTGTATCGTAGTACTTTCTTGGCCTTTCGTTTCCTTATGAATGTTAATCCCTTAGTCATCCAGGTAGAATCCATGGACATATAGTAGTCTGTGTGGTCATAGGCTGCGTTCAGACTGCAGCCTGAAGTGATCCAAATCCAATTTTTTGGCCTCTATGTGACCTGTGTCTGATCTTTTAATGTCAGTCTGAACCACACAGATTCGATTTTTTCAAATGTGACCCAGGACACTTGGATATGTGCTCCTGAAACTGATACATATCTGATCTTTTGACATGCGACTTCAGTGTGAACGCCCAAAGTGCATTCATCCACCTACACGTTATCAACAAGACACAAACATCACTATTTTGCGCTGAAGTAGGCAAAAATTGTTAATGAACTCCATGTCACTGAAGTGAAGCACATCACCACTCACCACTCTTGACTACATCTCCACATCCACACGTTCCTTTCTACGGACGTCGCTGCCGCTGTCCCACAAAACACCACGGCCAAAAACCTCGTCCTTCTCCTTCACAATCTCCTCCTTAAAACAAGTAAGTTGTTCATGTTTTGGCTCCGGTACGAGAGGAACTTTAAAATCTCCAGATGCTCGATGCTGCGTCCATGTTTGGACAACTTCTGTAAACACAGAGCACACTCGCTGCGGTTGACGCCATCGTGTCTCCAGTGCACATGTGGGACACTTTCGGGCCATTTAACGTTCACACTGGAGTCACATACAAGTCGCATTTAATTGGAAATGTGAACGACCTCACAAAAACATCGGATTTCACAAAAAAATCGGAATTGAGCGTTAAGCCCTGCAGTCTGAACATAGACTTATATTTGTTCTGACACAACTCAAGATCATTCTAAAGCTATTCAACAAAGATTCATTTCTGTGCTGTGAATCTGTTTTACTTGCTGAAATTAGTATCTAGATTTGATAGTAGTTTTAGTATTATCTGATTTCGATACCTTTGACAACCCTATAATCTAATCCTCCATGCTCGGTCCTAACTCGGGGCTAGACCTGTTCACTGTATGTATATACCCACAGGCAGCCCTTGCCTCTGCTGACCTCATTTACACTGTACAGCTGCAGAGTGGTAGATAAGACTATTTTAGAGAAAATTATGTTTTGTACGTTAACCTGTTTCATGTCAGGCGTTTTGTTTATGTGCTACAAATTGCTTTAGCAGACCAGACTGTCTATATAATGATGTTTCTGTTTAAAAGACACTATTGTTTTACCTACACTTGCCCAGCTCATGCCGTTTACATAATATTTATATGGCTACATCAACTTTGACACTGTGAATTAAGTCCTTATGTGTCAAAGACAACATTTCACCCAAATGTAAAGTCTTACATAAGAAATAATGAGACATGCCAGGGATAATAGTGCTTCTGTTTCCTTGGTAACCACTTGCTTCATCTCTGCTGCCAGCCCAGAGTCAAGCACCATATGTGCCTCTTGTTAAATTACATTGATACAGTTGGGCCTCCATTTACTTTTTCAGTATCCTAGAATAAATAGATTTTTGTCATACCCAAAAATATTGGAATTAGAATTTATTTAAAAATCTATAATTAACCGTTTTGAATTCACAATGCACAGTGCACCTGAGTGGCTGAGGGGCGCAATACATTTCTACCACAAGGACCCATATGAAGACTTTTCTGATCTGTTATAATGTTGCTTCCACTTAACATAACTGGAGTTGTGTTTTGTTTCATTCACACATGTTTAAGTTCTTCTCTCAAACTGAAGACACTCTGTTCCACCTTGTGATGTCATGTGGTAATACAGGAAGTGCTCCATTATGTTTTTAAACTCCATTTATCTTCCCTAGAATCATTTGGATAATTTCAACCCTAGAATTGCTAATCTCTACTGAAAAGGTAGCTGTTAACAGAACAGAGCATTTGGAGCTTTGGAGCTGTAAAAGACTAATAATAAAGGATTACTCCTACACATGTGAATGAAACAAAACACAACTCCAGGTATGTTTCTCAAGAGCAACAACAACATTATAACATAACTTACAGCTCACATCAATTTTGTGTAATATAAGACATTTAAAAGGAATTGGTGAAATTGTCCAAGGCTGTCCCATCTAATAACTACAGATGAGATAAAACACTATAAATATGTTGGTTGGAACAGATTTGCTTTCTCTTATGTTTTCTTTACTTGCTTTTCCTTGGAGTGAAAACACAAATCATCGAAATGTTCAATAATTGTGAAAATAATGGAAAAATAACTTTAAAATTTAGATGCAAATACAACTGGACTAAAGTCTCAAACTGAGAAAGCAATATATGCTATAAACATGTGGCTAATGGGCTGTAACAAGAACATAATGCACATTATAGCAACAATGAAGCAGGGGGGATTGCATTTATGTTTGCTTGTCTCTTTACCACTGTGTCTGTGCTCTTTGGCAGAAACACTCCAAAGGGCAGGCTCTGGTGGATCTGGTCTGTGAGCACCTGAACCTCCTGGAGAAGGACTACTTTGGCTTGACCTTTGCAGACAGTGACACACAGAAGGTCAGTGGTTTATGTGTGGTCTTAGGGCCTGTACCTGATTTAATGTATTCTTGTCACAATCTCTTTACATTATGCAATGTATGGTAAAAGCAGCGAAAAATTAATTTTACATATAATTTTCTCTGGTAATGAAGCTCAGCAGTCATTGTCTACCCCCCAGTTCCAAAAGTAAATTTCTCATAAATTGTTCCTGTAGACTTTGAGGGGAAAAAATTATAAAAAAAATTAAAGGTTTGGAAGTTTGCTTAGGGCTAATTAGCTACGTGGTAATGACCACAAGACCTATAATTTTATGTGCAATCTATTTCTGAAACTTTTTAAACCTCTAAATTAAACATTTTGATGAATCTTGGATTTTAAATGTGCTTTTTGGACTTTTTATTTATTTTATGTATTCAATATTTTACCAGGCAAGTCAATGGAGAACATCTTTGCATTTACAATGATGATCTAGTCAGGAGGCAGCATAAAACACTAACACATCAATCATAACATGAAATGGTGAATCAAAACACGAGACAGTGAAACATTTGCAGATTAAAGATATGAAAATGTTAAAAGCATGTGCACTGATCCTGCAGAATACTCTAGGTTTAGTGTTTAAAAGTAGACTGAGGGAAACGCAAACTAAGTTCTGTAGGTGGTTCCGGTCGCTTGCTAGAGAGAAGTGAGGAGCAGCCAAAAACTTTACTATGTAGCTAATTAGTGTCCGCAACACTTTGAACTCTTGATATTAGATTTTTTTTTTTTTTTAAGTCTATTGGAAAAATTTTAATTTTATTGAAATTTTACTCCTAGCACCAGAGCGGACTTCGAAGTGGGCGGGACTGTGGAGCTCTATAATTAACAGAAGGTCCAGACAGGGTCCCCAATTTTCATCCAATCAGGCTCACTGATACAAAGAATAATGGGAAACCAACTACCTGACGTTATCCCAGACAGCTAACACGTGACACTTCAAGAGTGACAAAAAAGTAAATAGTGGTTGGAGATTGGAAAACTATAAGGAAACAGCTACATGAGACTGTCCCAGACCCTCGTCTGTGTGTTCTGTGGCACAGTGTACTAAGTGGGCAGGGCTAAAAGCTCAGACTAAAACGTGTTCCTGACTCAAATTTTGAAATCAAGTACAGGAGAATTTGTGGTTTGTGGTGAATTTCCCATTCACTTATTGGATAAGGTTGGCAACATCCTCCATCACTCTAAAATATTAATAGTTTAGTGTTAATTTTGACAAACACTTACTGAATGTGTTCGCTGTTTGAAAGAAAAATGTGATTTATCTTTGATGCATTCAAAACCATAAAGCCTGATTTCAAATTGTCTGGAGTGTATATTGGCACTCAGGTATTGTAAGAGGTTGAATGATGTAGCCATTTGCCTTAGTTCTAATTCAGAGCTTCACAATACCAATGTGTCAATGAAATGCAACCACTAAGTACAAGAGGAAAAATATTATGTACAGTTGAGTCAATTATAAATTATTTAGGTTGATTTAACATTTTGACACACTATTACTCAAATAAATGAAAACTGATACAACAAAATAAATAAATTAGTTCAAAATCAGTCATTTATTGAGCAACAGGCAGCGTTGGGAAGGTTACTTTTAAAATGTACTCCCCTACAGATTACAGATTACATACCCCAAAATGTAGTTTGTAACATAATCCATTAAATTACTTAAAGTGAGTTGTCTGATAAAAGAAAAAAAAAATCCAGACTTTACTGAACCAAATTAAAAGTATTATTGATAGAAGACGAGGAGACACGTCCACACAGCAGGATTTAGTCCTGTTTTAGTCCTGTCTTAGTCCTGGTTTAGACCTGGTTTAGACCTGGTTTAGTCCTGGTTTAGTCCTGTTAAATCCTGTTTTAGTCCTGGTTTAGATCTAGTTTAGACCTGGTTTAGTCCTGGTTTAGACCTGGTTTAATCTGGTTTAGTCCTGGTTTAGTCCTGGTTTAGACCTGGTTTAGACCTGGTTTAGACCTGGTTTAGTCCTGGTTTAGACCTGGTTTAATCCTGGTTTAGACCTGGTTTAATCCTGGTTTAGTCCTGGTTTAGACCTGGTTTAGTCCTGGTTTAGTCCTGGTTTAGACCTGGTTTAGACCTGGTTTAGTCCTGGTTTAGACCTAGTTTAGACCTGGTTTAGTCCTGGTTTAGTCCTGGTTTAGACCTGGTTTAGTCCTGGTTTAGTCCTGGTTTAGACCTAGTTTAGACCTGGTTTAGACCTGGTTTAGTCCTGGTTTAGACCTGGTTTAGTCTGGTTTAGACCTGGTTAGACCTGGTTTAGTCCTGGTTTAGTCCTGGTTTTAGTCCTGTTTAGTCCTGGTTTAGACCTGGTTTAGTCTGGGTTTAGACCTGGTTTAGACCTGGTTTAGTCCTGGTTTTAGTCCTGATTTAGCTCAAAATGTGAAAACAGGAAAATACCTCCATATCATCCATTTATTTCAACAAAGTAACTGTAATCCAATTACCACTCACTGAAACAGTAACTGTAACTGAATACAGTTACTCATAATTTGTACTCTGATTATGTAACTCCAGTACATGTAATCTGTTACTCCCCAACACTGGCAACAGGTTACAGTACAGAACACCCTATTAACACATTTGCTTTTAATATGTTTGTCAGAATGTGCTGCCCCCTGTGGGTGGACCGACTAATGTCCTGGTGGTAAACTGACTAGTTAGACATTCTGACACATAAAAGAGTCAGCGTGGTTGAGCAGTTAGCATTGCCACTTTGATCAGTGTGACAGAGGATCAGAACCATGCTTATCAGGGAGGAGCTGAAGCCTGCTGCCTCCGGAAATCACCAAACAGTCCCGGGATTTCAAATGTCACTTCAGATGCCCTTTCTGTCTCTGCGCACATACAGTCTTTGATATGAGCACTAAGGGAGGGCTTTCAGTGACTGTGATGGCTTCATAATGTGGGTAAATAGCCAAAGTTGAAGAAACGTTCTCATTAGTGTATATATACTTTTTAGAGTAAATGCTATGCTAATTGAGTGTACTTTGGCCTTATCTGATATAAGGTAGATTCCAGGGGCCTATAACCACCCTCACCTCATTAGAGTTTTAGCAGCCTGATTAAATAGTGCTGCAGTCTGGGTATTAGTGTATGAGTTATGACTATATGTTTATTTGTGTAGTAGTGTGTTTATGTATTAACAGTGTTGGGGAGTAACAGATTACATGTACTGGAGTTACGTAATCAGAGTACAAATTATGAGTAACTGTATTCAGTTACAGTTACTGTTTCAGTGAGTGGTAATTGGATTACAGTTACTTTGCTGAAATAAATGGATTATATGGAGGTATTTTCCTGTTTTCACATTTTGGGCTAAACCAGGACTAAACCAGGTCTAAACCAGGTCTAAACCAGGTCTAAACCAGGATTAGAACCAGGACTAAACCAGGACTAAACCAGGACTAAACCAGGTCTAAACCAGGACTAAACCAGGACTAAACCAAGATTAAACCAGGTCTAAACCAGGACTAAACCAGGTCTAAACTAGATCTAAACCAGGACTAAAACAGGATTTAACAGGACTAAACCAGGACTAAACCAGGTCTAAACCAGGTCTAAACCAGGACTAAACCAGGACTAAACCAGGTCTAAACCAGGATTAGAACCAGGTCTAAACCAGGATTAGAACCAGGTCTAAACCAGGATTAGAACCAGGACTAAACCAGGACTAAACCAAGACTAAACCAGGACTAAAACAGGTCTAAACCAGGACTAAAACAGGATTTAACAGGACTAAATCATGCTGTGCGGACGTGTCTCCTCGTCTTCTATCAATAATATTTTTAATACGGTTTATTAAAGTCTGGACTTTTTATTTTCTTTTATCAGAAAAAAACTTCTTATGTTACAATATCCTAGTCTTTGCTTTTCTGCAGCAAATCACGTAATCCAAAGTATTCAGATTACGTTACTCACTTTAAGTAATTTAATGGATTCCGTTACAAACTACATTTTGGTGTATGTAATCTGTAATCTGTAGGGGAATACATTTTAAAAGTAACCTTCCCAACACTGTGTATTAGTAGTGCAGCATATACATATACACATGTACATATACACACACAAACACAGAATAGACTAAGACAATCGCAAGCAGAAATAAACAGAACAAACAGAATTAAATGTGTATTAGTATGAGGTAGTGTGTACATGTGCTGGGGAACAGTGTACTGACATGCCACAGGAGGCCAGGCTGCTTCAGGACAGAGCTTTGATGATCCTCTGATGTGACTACACGAAGACTGTCACAGAATGAGCACATGTGCTCCCTCTGTTAGATCAGACTGCTTGCTGCACAACAAGCAGTTTAAAATATGAAGTGGTTTAAATCTTAAATATATGACTTGGCCGCTGTACTTTTAATAATACAGCATGCTTGATATTCATGAGTGATCTGATTAAACCACACGGAACAGCTGGTGTTATTGTTGTATGTTTTAATATATTTTAACAAACACATAGACACACTCATTAGAAAACAACACAAAACAGCACAAAGCAACACCATAAAAGTAGGAGCTTGTAAAATTGAAAGTAGAGATAAGAGTGCATTGTTTGGTTCTAAAAGTAAAAAATGAGGTGCTCCTCAAAGACAAAAAGTACAAAAAGAGGTTTTGCAGGATAAAACAACATATGTGAATGTATACTAATGCTAATAAAACCTAAAACCTGAATAAACTCAATGGGCAGCACACATTGTGAAGAGTTTTGGAGTCTAGATTCAATATGAGTGGTGACGCTGCAACACTGCTGAAACAGATGCCTGTAAAGTGAAATGTTCTGTGTGCGCGTTGAGAGGCTCAGCAGGTGGGAGATTTTCTCTTATTTTACCATATGGAGCAGTTTCATTAGGAACGCTGATGCCCATTACAGCCCAATGAGACGCTGGGGTGTGCACGTTTCTCACTGCCCTCTGTGATTTGTGCCTTCTGTTTTTCAGAACTGGTTGGACCCCTCTAAGGAGATCAAGAAGCAGATGCGCAGTGAGTTTCTCTTCCAAGTAACTGGTCTGATAGATGTTTTCATTATCATTAGTCAGGTTTAGATTTGTTGGCACACATTTTGTCAGCCACACTTCCATCATGATTCATAATTACACTTTTATCACTAATTGCTTCCTCTATGACAGACCAAGATCAGCAGGGAGATGTAATTTTTATGATGACTTTTTACAGACTCTCCTTGGCTCTTTGCCTTTGCTGTCAAGTTCTACCCTCCGGACCCCTCACAACTCACTGAAGACATCACAAGGTCTCTATACTTCATCAAACATACTGTATCAGCAGTTTAGTCATGCTGCTACTGTATTTTTAAACAGATTATACATGTGTAAAGCGATGTGTCTGCAACTAGATCATTTTTTACATAAAAGAGAATATTGTTAAACTATACTTGATTTTCTCAACTATCTAAAAATAATCTTGTATTGACATGAGTTTTGTTCAAAAGTGTGATTGTCAAAAGAATGCAGTTGACATGCACTTATTCTCGTATTTACCCTTTTTGGTTATTTTCTTGTCAGAGCAGTTCAAATATGTGTGGTTATCCTGGATTAGAACGAAGATGTTTGTACCTGTAGTGTATTAGCAGAGTAGAGCCTGTTGGAGCGTGCTTGTCTGAGTGCCAGTTCTGTGCCTTGTGTGTGTGATAGGTACTACCTGTGTCTGCAGCTGAGGGATGACATGCTGTCAGGACGCCTGCCCTGCTCATTCGTCACTCACGCCCTGCTAGGCTCCTACACTGTGCAGGCCGAGCTGGGGGACTACGACCACGATGACCATGGCTCAGACTATGTCAGTGACTTCCGCTTTGCCCCAAACCAGACGCCCCAAACCAGACCCGCGAGCTGGAGGAGAGAGTCATGGAGCTCCATCGCAACTACAAGTACATTTCTTTGAATCAGCCAACTTACATAGATATGTCTCTCCAGTAGCAGAAAGAGTAAAAGCATAGACATGCAATGGACAAGCTAACAATAATTGGCTTGATATACTTTCCTTTATCAACATTTGACAGTATGATAAATGTGTTCTATTGCAGTGATGGATGTGCCCACAGTGTCATTTACATGCTCACATTATTGGGCTCTGTTGTATGAGTAACAGCTTTCAGTGCACTCTTGATTCAGCCTTTATCATTGGCAGGCACACAAACATTTTCCTTTTAGAGACGGAAGGAAAGTGAAATTCAATGTATTATACACATAATCCAAACTGGCCCCGAGGAGACTGTATAATTTGAAAAGAGCTGTCAATTTAGCAAATATACTTGATTGATGTCCTGCTCACAGGGGGATGACTCCAGCAGAGGCCGAGATGAACTTCTTGGAGAATGCGAAGAAGCTGTCTATGTACGGGGTAGACCTCCATCACGCCAAGGTACTGTCTCTCTAAAGCAATTCTATTATGTTAACTGCATTATGTGATCTCATTATGCCTGACAATAATGACTCTCCAGGACTCAGAAGGGATTGAAATAATGTTGGGAGTATGTGCCAATGGGCTGCTGATTTATCGCGACAGACTGAGGATCAATCGCTTTGCCTGGCCCAAGATCCTCAAGATCTCCTATAAAAGGAGCAACTTTTACATCAAGATACGCCCAGGGGAGGTACACACTAAGCTTTTATGAATTACATAGTACTCTGAGTTGATGGATGCTTACTGTTGTAATTTGAACTATTTAGGAAAATAGTCCAAATATCAAAGTATATGTTTATGCCACTTGAAATTAACAAAGATATAAAAAATACACACACATATATACATATACATATATATATATATATATATATATATGTGTGTGTGTGTGTGTGTATATATGTATATGTATGTATGTATGTATGTGTATATATATATATATATATATATATATATACACCTGCTAATATTAGTATTCTTTAAAAAAAAAAAAGCATTTTAAGCAGACATAACGTATTAAATTTAGATTCTAAACAGTTGATGGCACATCAAGATTTTTTTGTGTGGAAAAATGTGTAAAGTTAATATATTCACTGTATACGTAAACAGCACTCACAGAGGCTTGAAATATTATGGCACTTCGCTATGATACTGTTTTATTTTTGCCATACACTCACATTGTTCTTAAAGCCCTCTATATCCTAATGTGCTAGTGTGATGCCTGGTACCAATCTAGCCCCCTTTCTGTGCTCTATGTAGTCCACACGCTGCTCCTCTGTCTGCCCCCTGCTGTGTCTGTGTGACACATACACACACTGAGTCTGTGTGACACATACACACACACTGAGTCTGTGATGAACACATACACACACAGTGAGTCTGTGATGAACACACACACACACTGAGTCTGTGATGAACACATACACACACAGTGAGTCTGTGTGACACATACACACACTGAGTCTGTGATGAACACACACACACACTGAGTCTGTGATGAACACATACACACACAGTGAGTCTGTGATGAACACACACACACACTGAGTCTGTGATGAACACATACACACACAGTGAGTCTGTGATGAACCAAAGAAAGAGCTCTTTAATGGGGACGCCGCAGCTGCACTGTCAGCCACAAAACTCACAGAAAAAGGCAACTTTGAAATTGTTTTATTTTTAAGTTTACACTTACAGTAGGCTACAGGAGGTTCTTTCAGTAAATTATTATCTGCTGTTTTAATGCTCAAAGCTATTTCTCACAGTGCAAGTTAAGTTTTAGATTAAATAAATAAATAATAATGAAAGAAAACACCACAGTTTGTTGATGCGTATGCTACATCACTGTATACTGTACTAATGGGTGATATATACTTTTTGTCTTCTTTTTAAGTATGAGCAGTTTGAGAGCACTATCGGTTTTAAACTACCAAACCACAGAGCTGCCAAGAGGCTGTGGAAGGTCTGCATTGAGCACCACACATTCTTCCGGTAAGTATCAGTTTGTGGTGGACTAGAATTTGAAAGAGACAGAAAACAATTTAACTAATGTCTGTGTAGGTTTTCTCTGGTTTTCCCTACCAGTATAAAATACATAGAATAAGGTTCCCTATGAGGCCAGGACTGTGGAATTTTCCTGGTTCAATACATAAATAAAACTACTGATTTATGCTATTACATTTAGAATTTACTGATAATAATGGATTTTATTGCCATGTCAACATCACCAGACACAGTATTTGCCTGAAACAACATCGTAGGATATGTTGCTGCATGGCTAAAACACTGGGGTGATTTGGGACTTTTGCTACTGTTACAAAACAATACAGTTACATAAGGTATACAGTGATGTTGAAATAGACAACAAAATAGCACATAAAATCCATGTTACGTTTGTATACATGCCAGTATAAAATTCAACAGATGTAGGGCTATACTTAATTCCCTCAAATAATTATAACTGCAAAACTACAAACACTGCAGCAACAAAAGGTGACACATTTATCATGTTTTATTTTGTCTTTTGTTTTCTACTGATAAAAAGAACACTGCTGAACCAAACAAGTACAAAGCCCTCTAAAACAATAGTTATTCTCTGCCATCCCTGGAGGCTGCCACCATGGCTATAGAGAACTGCAGTAAAACACAAACAGATTTTAGAGTTACAAAAACAAGCTATGCTGTAGCATTTGTCATGTTCACCAGCTCTGAGTGAGGAAGGCTTTTCAGGGTCACAAAATACAGGAGGGATCGAGGAGAAAGACAACTGGAGTAAGCAGATTCCATCATTAATTTATTAAAACAGATAAACAACACTTAGGCCTTCCATTCCTAAAGACAATTAAGCTGATCCATCTCTGTCTGAGTTAGTTCAAGTTTTCCATAAAGCAGAGTCATCCACAAAAGTATTCTGTTAAAAACCTTTTGGTTGGGGGTCCGTCACCTGCTTGTTTATATGGATATGTCATTGCGCTGCCTGGAATATTCCACAGTATGACATTAAACTGTTCTACTTACATTTACTCAGTTACAGGTGGTTTTATAGCTCAAAAATATCTAGAAAAACATGCATTCTAACTGTGAGTGGGGGTCACCTCTCCACAGATCTGCTCTGTAACTTGGTCTGGTTTGGTCTCCATGAAGATAGAAACTTTTATTAATTCCATACTGTGAAACATTCCACACAAAGCAATAACATTTCCATGGAGAAAAGCATTTGACGGACCCTACATCCGAAAAGTGCACAATTTTAGTTCATAATTCAACCTTCTTCAGCCAAAATCTGAATTTGCATATTGTAGATTACATATTGCATAAGTACTCATGATAAATATTGATCCCCCCCAAATTTTTGTTCCATCTGTCATATATTCTATGCAGCATTTATTGGGACAGGCCTAGCCACATTATCACAACATTTGTTTTAACCCAGTCCACAGCAAGTTTTCAAGAATAAGTAGTAGATAGACAGACATGTGATAGTTACAGTGATGTGAAAATTATTCCTTTCTGGTTTCTTAAAATCTCTTAACATGCTGTTCCAGACTGGTGTCACCAGAACCTCCACCAAAAGGGTTCTTGGTGATGGGTTCAAAGTTTCGGTACAGTGGCAGGACTCAGGCTCAGACCAGACAAGCCAGTGCGCTGATAGACCGGCCTGCTCCACATTTTGAGCGCTCCACCAGCAAGAGGTTCCTTCTGTCCCGCAGTCTGGATGGAGGTATGATGTGATAAAACTTCCTGGTATTAATTATGGCCTATTTGTCTAATTTGTAATTCATTAAATTTAGTAAACTGTAAACTTGATTTACTTGTAGTTCTATTTAGGTATTAATACCGCCTTGTTCCAGGTTTCCCCTAATTTGTCCCTGATAATGCTTGTTTTGTGCAGTTTCATGCCAAAATTTCTGAAGAAGAGCTTGACTCCGAAACGTCACATTCTGGCACTATTAAAATACTAAAAAAATTGGAAGCTTCAAAGAACTGCAATGCAGTTTTTTTTTCTATTACGCACAGTTCGCCTCACATGTTTACTTTTACATCTTATTAGACGAATATCTGTATCTTTTTGCCTGTAGAGTTCTCACGACCCATGTCATCCATGTGTGAGAACCACGACAGCTTGTCCCACCGCAGCATCAGTGAGCAGCGGCGCCCCCACAGTCCATCCGGAGACGAGCAGGAGACGGAGCTGGAGCACAGTCTGGAGCAGGAGGAGGAGGACAGAGAGCACGGACCAGATCATGAGCTGGGACGGGACAGTGGAGATGATAATGGCAATGTGACTCCAAGCAGGAAGAAAGACATCAGGGTAATGCCAAGAGTAGAGCAAAAAACATTGTATTTATTTGATGTTTACTTGATACAGACAGATAGAATTCGATGCAGGTATCGTCATGCTGTTTACAGAGTTTATAGTGTTTACAGCCTAATTTGCAACACCAGCCCCTAGAAAGACATTCTAGACCAGGGGTGTTCACACTTTGTCAGCATGTGAGCTACTTACAAAATGACCAAGTCAAAATGATCTACCTAATACAAAGTCAAGCAAACTGCACTGAAACACTCTGTGCCCCTTTTTTGGACCCTCACCCACAGTTTGAGAACCTCTTCTTTAAGAGAACTTCCTCTGGCACTTTACACAAAACTGTGAAAAAAGTGAAGGAAGATTTTTAAACCTGTTTTTTAAAGATCCAAACTGGAGTTACATTCTTTTCTGGTTTTGCAGTGATATTTACCAGCCTCTGCACATTTACCAAACCAAACGCACATCGTGACAAACACAGATGCATTTGTGCACTTTTGTTAGACAAACTTCAGTCAAATGTGGCAGTAGGTCTGTTCTGTAGATCCGCTCTATGCTGTAGACCTGCTTTGTGCCAACACTGGAACACAAATTTAGACTGGTTTTTGCTTCACGTTTGGTCTTGCTCTTCTAATCAGCCGCACTGTGGGAGGGGCTTGTGTTCGCTGTACGCAGGAAGGAGCGAGAGCGTGAAAAGGCGAGGGGCGGCGTGCTGACGTGAGGCAGATGGACAGGTAGGATGTTTAGGAAGTTGAACCTGCCCTGTGATGCACGCTGGTACACGAGGGCACACGCTGTTGCAGACGAGCCGTGCATAGGGAGCGTGTGTGTTTGTGATGTGCCGTAGAGTCTCCGCGGGTTTCAAATGAGCGCACAGGCTGCACTGAGACGCCCCACACGCTCCTGCACCCCGCTACAAGTTTATTACCAACAGCAGCAGCCGTAATGAAATATGATCACACTTGTTGAGTGTCAGACCTTGAGTGAGAGACAAGACCGAGTCCAAACGTGAGTCCGAGACGAGACATGGCGATCTACCCACACGACCTTGGCGATCGACTGGTAGATCGCGATCGACGTATTGAGCACCCTTGGTCTAGAACAACAAACACACATAAAAGCACTGTATCACCTGTTTGATTGGCCAGAGCTCAGACAATATGCAGATTGTGCTTTGAAAATTAACTAGTACCTATCTCAGTCAGTAGTATTTTTCATGTGTACATTTTGGTTCTGGTCAAGTACAATTTTAGAAGAAGTACTTGTAACTGAGTGAATTTGTAGATATGTAACTATACTTTTACTTGAGGACTAATTCACAGTGCTCTTTCCACCTCGTTCATTGAATGTGAACACTCTTGAATCCTGTAAAACCAAATCAAAAACAGGGCTGTACTTACATCTTTAAGTGTGATGACGGGACTAAAAAACTAAACCTAGCTGTTCATTTATCTTTCTTATGAAGTCAAGGACCAATAAGGCAATTTTAATTATAGATTGTTTTGGTGAAAGTATACTTAAATTTCAGTTTAGAAATAGCCACACAAATTTAACAGATCAATTTGAAGTCTATTCAGGTAATAAGATTGCCAAACTATTCATGTTGCAAACACCTTTCACTTAATTTTGTGCTGACAAAAAGTATGCTGAACAATGTTTACCGGTACTTCCAAAATAAATCCTTTTGTAGACCCAGTAAACACACAGAAATCGACTTACCACTGAGATACCAAAACATCTCAATTTAGACACTTGAAGCTTGAAGTTGTCCCATTGAATTTTGGCCTGACTACTTCTCTGCCTCTGTGGGAATACTGTGTTATTACATAAACCTATACTTTAAGAGTAATTGCAAGCTTCTGTGCTATCAACTTTTCTATTTCTTGTCAACCTGAGGAGCTTAAAGGCTAGAAGTATAGGTTTCCACTGTGAAAAAGTGTTAGCGTCCTAGTCTCATCCTGTTGTGGGGATTTACCTCCTTCTTTCATTCTGATTCTCTTACATGCTCAGAGGGCCCTGTAAAAATCCCTGCTTTGTGGTCTTAACCCTCTCATTGTGTATAACTGTAACAGCGTACTTTTGTAGCTAACACCCTTTTCTCTTCTGACTTATGCTTACCAAAAGGAGGAGAGGCTTTCACCAATTGACAATAAACAGGAGGTATACCGATACCTGTTCATAGTTTCAATAATTTTGGGTGCTCATTGCAAAAGAAAATTCTGTGAACTGGAAAGCCTTGTTAGAATCGTTTCCTTATCAAAAACATACCTGGAGTTGTGTTTTGCTTCATTCACACATGTTTGAGTGATGGATTATCAGGCTGTCTACATCTCCAAAGCTCAAAATGCTGTGTTCCATCTTGTAATGTAGTTGTAGTTTTCAAGTTTACACTTACTTTTAAACTTTATTTCAGTAGAGATTTGCAAGTCCAGGCCTGAAATCATGCAAATTATTTTAGTGAAGGTGTATGGAGTTTACAAACACAGTGAAGTACTTAGGGGTGTGCAAAAATGTCGGATATCGATATATCGTATCATTTAATGTGATGATACAGTATCAATACGAGGGCTACTGTATCGATATATCACCAAGAGTATTTTAGGTGTGTTTTACTAAATAATTTTGTTACAGAGCTACAGTTTTGTTGCTTGTGGAGTGAAAGGAAACTCATTTATGCAACACATTTGACATTTTCACTGTTTTGATGATTAAAATGTTTGTGTTTCATATGAACTTTGCACAAGAAGAAGTGGTTTAACAAAGACTTTAGTGTCACAGCCACGATATAGCCTTTATTTTTTATTGAACTGTTTTGAATTAATTTGAAATATATCATATCGAATCGAAAGTGCACTGTATCGAGATTTGTATCGTATCGTGGCCTGTGTATCGAGGTATGTATCGTATCGGCAACTTCTTAATGATACCCAGCCCTAGAAGTACTTCCTGTATTACCACATGACATGAGAAGGTGGATCAGAGTGCTATCCGTTTAATTAAAGAACCCAGTCTAAATATGCAGGATTTGTGAGTGAATCTTGTGTGAATGAAACAAAACACAACTCCATCTTTGTTTGCGATGAGGAAACGACATTACAACAACAATCCTGAGAGAATTAAATTTTCTTTAGCTATGGATACTACCAGGGATTACACTGAGATCTTGGGTGCTCATTATCATTATCTCTACACTGACCAAACCAAAACACTAAAAATATATGTGCAGTGTTGGGAAGGTGACTTTTAAAATGTATTCCACTACAGATTACAGATTACATACCCCAAAATGTAGTTTGTAACGGAATCCATTAAATTACTTAAAGTGAGTAACGTAATCTGAATACTTTGGATTACTTGATTTGCTGTAGAGAAGCAAAGATGAGGAAATCTTCACATAAGATGTTTAGTCTGCTAAAAGAAAATTTTAAAAAGCCCAGACTTTACTTAACCGTATAAAAAATATTATTGATAGAAGACGAGGAGACACGGTCCACACGGCATGATTTAGTCCTGTTTATTCCTGATTTAGACCTGGTTTAATCCTTTTAAATCCTGTTTTAGACTTGGTTTAGACTTGGTTTAGACCTGGTTTGGACCTGGTTTAGACCTGGTTTTAGTCCTGGTTTAGTCCTGCTTTAGTCCTGCTTTAGTCATGGTTTAGTCCTGGTTTAATCCTGGTTTAGTCCTGGTTTAGACCTAGTTTAGACCTAGTTTAGACCTGGTTTTAGACCTGGTTTGGACCTGGGTTTAGACCTGGTTTTAGACCTGGTTTAGTCCTGCTTTAGTCCTGCTTTAGTCATGGTTTAGTCCTGGTTTAATCCTGGTTTAGTCCTGGTTTAGACCTAGTTTAGACCTAGTTTAGACCTGGTTTTAGACCTGGTTTGGACCTGGGTTTAGACCTGGTTTTAGACCTGGTTTAGTCCTGCTTTAGTCCTGCTTTAGTCATGGTTTAGTCCTGGTTTAATCCTGGTTTAATCCTGGTTTAGTCCTGGTTTAGACCTAGTTTAGACCTAGTTTAGACCTGGTTTTAGACCTGGTTTGGACCTGGGTTTAGACCTGGTTTTAGACCTGGTTTAGTCCTGCTTTAGTCCTGCTTTAGTCCTGGTTTAATCCTGGTTTAGTCCTGGTTTAGACCTAGTTTAGACCTAGTTTAGACCTGGTTTTAGACCTGGTTTGGACCTGGGTTTAGACCTGGTTTTAGACCTGGTTTAGTCGTGCTTTAGTCCTGCTTTAGTCATGGTTAATCCTGGTTTAATCCTGGTTTAGTCCTGTTTAATCCTCTTAAATCCTGTTTTAGACTTGGTTTAGACCTGGTTTGGACCTGGTTTAGACCTGGTTTTAGTCCTGCTTTAGTCCTGCTTTAGTCATGGTTTAGTCCTGGTTTAATCCTGGTTTAGTCCTGGTTTAGACCTAGTTTAGACCTAGTTTAGACCTGGTTTTAGACCTGGTTTGGACCTGAGTTTAGACCTGGTTTTAGACCTGGTTTAGTCCTGCTTTAGTCCTGCTTTAGTCATGGTTTAGTCCTGGTTTAATCCTGGTTTAGTCCTGGTTTAGACCTAGTTTAGACCTAGTTTTAGACCTGGTTTTAGACCTGGTTTGGACCTGAGTTTAGACCTGGTTTTAGACCTGGTTTAGTGTCCGGCAATGAGTGGAATTACCGGGGGGAAAAAAAGAAAAAAAAAGGGGGATATAGCCCGAAATGTGAAAACAGGAAAATACCACCGTGTAATCCATTTATTTCAGCAAAGTAACTGTAATCTAATTACCTCTCATTGAAACAGTAACTGTAACTGAATACAGTTACTCATAATTTGTACTCTGATTACGTAACTCTGGTACATGTAATCTGTTACTCCCCAACACTGTTTATATGTTAATTTGTAAGGCTCCAAATGTATTCCACTTGTGAACCTTTGGTGACTATCTCACCAGTTATAAAGAAAGCTAATAACATAACTTCTTACCTCATCTGTTTTACTTTAAATTTCCTTAACTCTTCACCTTTGACCTCTTGAACTTTTAACCTTTCTATGCTGCTGTAGTTGGATCAGGAGACTACACCTCGACACAAGAAGGAGGTACAGCTAACTGTTTAGATAATGCCACATCCACCTCTCCATTGAAATTATAGGATACTTTTATATTTTTGGAAATGTCATATCGATTTGACATCCTGTTTTTTTTATGTGTTGTTTATGTTCCTACTGGATGAGTAATTTTGTATTCTCCTCCACACTGTCTTAAAAGTGTACTTGTGCTTGCTGAATTTATATTTCAATTTCCATATTTATTGCATGTCATGTATATGCCTGGATACTTCATCTATCCATACTTAACATTGCACCTCTTCTTATCTCTTGTTTCTACCAGCTCTGAGCTCTAGTCATGCATAGCAGATTACAGTGTGTATCAACTCGGCTCCAAATCTCTTGCCAATCTCTTTTGTTTATTTGTGTTCTTCTTTGCTTTTGCAGTTCCTGGACAAGTCCCAGGATGTGTTGCTCAAGCACCAGGCCAGTATCAACGAGCTGAAGAGAGCCCTGAGGGAGCCCAACAGTAAACTGGTGAACCGAGAGAAGCGTCTGTCTGCCACCTCCCCAACCGGCACTCCGGAGAAGAAGGCAGTGAGTCAATCTCTAGTTTATTTACCCGTTCAAATTTGATCTGATTGCCGTGGCATTTCAGAATTGGCTCAGTGTAGATGAATTCTTGAAAGAGCTGCTGAATTATAAGGCTCTGTCTGATGTTTTTTTAATTGAAATTGAGTTATTTATGTTATTTTTTCTGAATAATTTTTATTTTTTTTTATTTTTTTTTTTATTTTTTTTAAGGGTTTGGTATTTTTTTTTTTTTTTTTTTGGTTTATATGTTCAAAAAATCCGTTTCACAGTCACATTGTGTTCTATGAATGGTCAGAGTGGTCACGTCTTTTGACACGCTTTTATTTTCTGGCTTTTAACACCACATGAATTGTGCGGTCCTCTGAGTCTTTTATTGTTTTATTTTTTCACTTTCAGCTGTTGTTTATTTAGTTTATTGTTTTTCACTTCTATTTATTATTTTAGGTTTTATTATTATTTCATGAGCACTGTTGTAGTATTGTTTGTTTTTAATCGTTTTCTGCGCAGCACTTTCAAAACGTTACAGTTTATGGCCATACCAGCTTGTCAAAGCCTGATCCCGTCAGATCTCAGAAGCTAAGCAGGCTGGGCCTGGGTAGTACTTGGATGGGAGACCATTGTGTCCTTAGGCAAGACACTTCACCCACATTGCCTAGTATGAAAGTGGTGTGTGTGTGTGTGTGAGTGATGGTGGTGGTCGGAGGGGCCGATGGTGCAGATTGGCAGCCTCTCTTCCATCAGTCTGCCCCAGGGCAGCTGTGGCTACAGTAGTAGCTTACCACCACTGAGTGTGGAGTGACTGAATAATGAATTGTAAAGCACTTTGTATCCTGAAAGGTGCTATATAAATGCTATCAATCAATCAATCAATAAAATGCTATATAAATAAAGTGAAATGGACTGAATCTCAAAACTACCCAGAATCTGTGCCCTGAATTCTTTTGAGGTGAAATAGGGATTTCAAAATGTGCTCTTTACACCCGAGCAGGCAACAGATGCGTAGGAGAAAACTCATATTAACATTTAAAAGCATTTTGTCCTCAGCCTGCCACTGCTTTTTCAAGACATTCAGTGAAGCTTTGAAATTTAAATTTCATTCCCCTGCCACACTTGGTAAATTATTGGATGCCATAGCAACAATGTGACACTCTTTCACCCCCTCTCCTATCAAAACATGAGACTTTCACCCATTGGGAACATTAGCAGTTGCTGTGGAGGTCTTAAAATATATATTAAGTAAACTTGCAAATCACTGCTCACCAGGAGGTAGATGAAATGCAGGATTGAAGTGACACAGAGAGTAAAGAGGGGAAAGGCCTCTAGGAAAGAGATAACCATTTAAAACCCAAATCACTCTAGCTTATATACATATTTTCTAGTGATGGGCGAATGGAGCCTCGTGAAGCATTGACACCTCAGTCGCAATATTGTCTCAAATGGTTCGACGTGTCTGAGACCTCGGAGAAACACTGACCTCTAGTGGACAAATGTAACCATTGGCATGATGCAGGTGTCTCAGCATTGATGAAGTATTGTTAGTGTAAGACAATACTTGTGTGCAGAGCAACACCGTACCTAACAACAACAATAATAATGATGATTTAAAGTAATATGTAAAGAGCAACATAAATAGCAGCTGTAAATAAGAAAATTGGTGTTACCTTGTTGGGTGGAATTAGATCAAAGTGATCCCAAACCATGGATCACTTTTTTCCACTTGTAGATGCCATCGAAAATGAAACAAATGCCAAAAGTCGCCAAAATCACCACTAACGTCACACAATACTCCTCACTACCCAACATGTTTAAGAAATATTGGCGCATCTTTTATACCAGGGGAGCTCACACTTTTTCAGCATGTGAGCTACTTACAAAATGACCAAGTCATAAATGATCTACCTAATACAAAGCCAAACAAACTGCACTGAAACACTCTGTGCCCCTTTTTTGGACCCTCACCCACAGTTTGAGAACCTCTTCTTTAAGAGAACTTCCTCTGGCACTTTACACAAAACTGTGAAAAAAGTGAAGGAAGATTTTTAAACCTGTTTTTTAAAGTTTCAAACTGGAGTTGCATTCTTTTCTGGTTTTGCAGTGATATTTACCAGCCTCTGCACGTTTACCAAACCAAACGCACATCGTGACAAACACAGATGCATTTGTGCACTTTTGTTAGACAAACTTCAGTCAAATGTGGCAGTAGGTCTGTTCTGTAGATCCGCTCTATGCTGTAGACCTGCTTTGTGCCAACACTGGAACACAAATTTAGACTGGTTTTTGCTTCACGTTTGGTCTTGCTCTTCTAATCAGCCGCACTGTGGGAGGGGCTTGTGTTCGCTGTACGCAGGAAGGAGCGAGAGCGTGAAAAGGCGAGGGGCGGCGTGCTGACGTGAGGCAGATGGACAGGTAGGATGTTTAGGAAGTTGAACCTGCCCTGTGATGCACGCTGGTACACGAGGGCACACGCTGTTGCAGACGAGCCGTGCATAGGGAGCGTGTGTGTTTGTGATGTGCCGTAGAGTCTCCGCGGGTTTCAAATGAGCGCACAGGCTGAACTGAGACGCCCCACACGCTCCTGCACCCCGCTACAAGTTTATTACCAACAGCAGCGACCGTAATGAAATATGATCGCACTTGTTGAGTGTCAGACCTTGAGTGAGAGACAAGACAGAGTCCAAACGTGAGTCCGAGATGAGACACGGCGATCTACCCACACGACCTTGGCAATCGACTGGTAGATCGCGACCGCCGTATTGAGCACCCCTGATTTATACTGTAGCAGTTTAGTGCTTGTCAAAACACAGAAGTGCGCTGAACACTCTGAAGCACTCTGAGCCAATCGCAGAGCAGCACATTCACAGAGCCAATGAAACGCTTCAATACACTGAAGCGATTAACACGCAGAGCGAAGCAGTAGGGGGAGGGACCGACACTTCCACACTTTGGTCACGTGAGCGGCTGCTGCGAAACGAGCTCCGAGGCAGTGCTCCGGAGCAATTTGTTTCAGAAAAAACGAGACGTGCTCCGGAGCTCCGTCTAATTTGCCCATCACTAATATTTTCCTAAATTGACAGTTTCAGCTTTAAACCATGTTATAATGTTTCCACATCAAAAACATACTGAGTAGTTTTTGGCTTCATTCACGCTTATTTCATCAATCCAGTTTACGGTTGTCAGCACCAAGAAGTAAAATATTTTTTTTATAATCTGTTCTAATGGTTGTTTTCTAGTAGAATGGATGAGTTGGTGTTGAATTATTAAGTATATAAAATAATAATGGTGATTGAAATGACCTAAATCCCAAAAGAAAGATAAACAGAGCCATTACAAACCACAAATGATTGAAGTGAAATAAATGACGGTGACTTTGGTTTATATGGATGGTTGTGGCATAGCTGAGAACGGGGTGAGTAAGGGGAGAAAGAGGAAATTCATATGAAAAGCCTCAAGGATAATTGGTCGAGGGGGGAGAAGAAGGCTATGATTGCCTGACAGTCACAGATGGGTGACAAGAGGTAGGAGCAAGAAAGATATGGAAATATAATGGCTTCCTGGTTAAATGTACATAACCTTTATTCAAGGCATTATAAAACATATTTTCTTTATTACGTTAACAGTTCTTGGTAATGCCAGCTTATTTAAAGGTCCTATATTATGCAAGATTGTCTCTTTAAACCATGTTAGAATGTGGTTATCTCTGTCTACTAGTCTGTCTGCGTCTCCAAAACTCAAAAACTCAAAAGTTCTTTACTAAAAAATGGCAGTTCTGAAATCATCCTGACTGACTGCATATTAACTCTGCCTAAATATGCAGGATTTGTGTGTTTAAACATGTGTGAATGAAACAAAACACAACTCCTAATGTGTTTATGATAAGAAAATAACATTATAGCAGATAAGAAAATAGATTAATATGGGTCCTTTTATATCTTGGATCTAGGGCTGCACAGTATATCAAAATCAAATTGAAATCATAATTTGAATTGGCCCAATAGCAAATTGCAGTCTGTAGTTATTTAGGTAGTAGAATACCCTCTGCAAAGAAAAATCTTGTAAATGTAGTTTAGACCTCTACAAAAATTTTCTGGAAATCATGGGATCTTCCAGGGTTATTTACAGTGTGCACTTTAAACAGAACCTTTCCTTTTTAAAACAGAAAGTCCAAATAGTCACAATACTTTCACTTTTAGATTTTTTTTTTACTCAAAATGGTGCAGCTTTTGGATCACAGAAGTTATGAAGTTGTCTCTGAGCTGTAGTTGCCGACAGTCCCTGCTCTTCTGTCTGTAACAATCAGATTATTCCCAAAGTGTCAACTACTGTCTGCAGCACAAAATGTAATCTTCCATGTGCCTCGTGTAATTCGCTCTGACTGACGCTCCAAGGCTGGGAAAGACTCAGGGCTCTTCAAAAATTCTCTAGACATTCAGACACACACACTCCTTTGATGTAGTTACCGGAAGGGAACATTTGAATTGCAAATGGATGCTGATTTGGTTCTGTGGATTTAATGACTGTCAGGTACTCGGAATTTGGTGTTTTTGTTTGAAACTTTCGTAGCACCCTTGCTGTTTTCTGTGTGTATATTTGCAGCTTTCTCTAATACTTTGCACTTTTTCTATAATCTCTTTCTCTCTTCTACTATGTGTTGTTCAGTCTGTGGCCCGAGCCAGAGAACCTGTAAACAGCCTGTCTGTGGAGGGCTTTGTCCAGAAGACTGTGATCGCTTCTCCTGAGGTTGCAACTCTTTCTCTTTCCTGTTTTCTGTTGAACCATGTGAATGTCAATGAATATGTGTTAGATTACACTCTGTTGTGTTATTATTTATCCATTGTTGTCAATTACTTGAAACATTGATCAGGCATAACATGTGACCACCTGCTGTTACGTTCCTGATTAAATGCTGTCACATTGACACAACATCAAATGCAGAAGTTCTTTGTTGCATTGATTTTTACGTGCATAATTGATCATCAGTTCATCACTGTAAATTCTTTGAAAAAAAAAACAGAAGTGTTGTCACAATACTAAAATTTCAAACTTGATTTCGATACTAGTTTTTTAGAGTAGTTAGTTTTTTTTTTAAAGATTGTAATTTTCAACAGAAACATATTTTTGTTTTTACAATAGTTCTGATGAAACTGTTAAAGAAAGTTTTATTTTTTTTTCCAATATCATCATATTTGAGTATCTAACTTCAGTACCAGTTGTGGTATTGATTAGTAGCAGATTTTCAATACTTTTGACAACCCTAATAGATACTGATCACTGCAGGCCACACAAACAGTTGTACTGATGCTCTCTCTCTGCTACTTGACTATAAACGTTCTGTGCTTATAACAGATAATGTTGGAAAAAATCTCCTTCTGCCTTCTGCTGTCAGTGGTCTGAGATTTGTCTGATTGATGTATCACAAAAATAACTTTCAAAAGTTTACTCTTGCCCATTGTCTTAAAGCTTTGTAATTCTCAAACTGTTTCTATGATGCAGCCTCCGCACCTGGCGTTTCTAACTTTTTCCAATCTATACCAACATATAGGGCTCCGAAGAGTGGGTATTGATTGAAAAACAAGAAAGTTATCAAGAGCATGACTGGAAGGCAGAAGAAAAGAGCCGACTAGCTGCCTCTCCCCCTTTCACTCCGGAAGGCTCTTGGGAGCCAAACGAGCAGGAGATAGACATAAGCCAGATGAGACACGCAGAGGTAACAGGGTATGACAGGAAAGAAATGAAAAGCCATATCAATGAGATCCCCTCGACCAAAGCGACCCGAGAGGCAGACGTGTGCGCTGACGCTGGACCAGCAAACAAAAGCCGCTTTGTGATTCAATTACTGGAGGATGCTGATAAATCTCTAAGCAAAGCCCCTCAAGCGCAAGACCCTGAGGCAAACAGCGGTGTTGCCCTGGGCCCAAGACCCATCAAAGAACGTTCACGCAAAAAGAGGCGGCCGCAAAGTCTTAATTTGGGAATGCATGGAGAATACCGTAAAGGAAGAGAAGATTCTTCTGGAGACGACAACTCTGAATCAGGTGACAGCTCAGAGGAGGCAGCTAAAGTTGTGCATCGTGGGGAGTCAGTGGACAAGATGAAAGATAATCAAGGGAAGGAAGAGTGCAGCAGAGCTTTTAAGAATAGCAAACAAGATGGTAGGTCTGCTATCGAATGCAGAGAAGTGTCCAGGCAGACTGTTGAAGGTGTGAAGAAAATAGTTAACTTAGTAGATATTGATTCCAGCCCCGTGAATGGACCTGGAAAGGTAGAGCAGGAGAGCACTTTATCGGCGGTAAAAGGGGGGCCAAAGGTCAGAGGGAAGGGTATTATTGACAACAAGGAGTTAGCTGAGGTCAAGCTTCGGCAGGTCCGGACACATGAGAGGAAGGTGAGCTCGGGAGGAGAGGATTTTGATATGGTCCCTGGAGAGAAGAGGACGTCTCTACACAGACTGTCAGGAAGCCACCAGTCAGAGATCACCAGGATCGTCCCGCTGAAGCCTGAACGCTCAAAAAGTGTTGCATGCAAAGACGAACGGGACAGAGCCGGACAAGACGAACTGCGACAAGTGTTCAGAAGAGAATACCGCTGGTCTGTGGGCTCACCAGAGGGATCGTCAGACCTCAACTGGACCGAAGTCACAGCGTTCCATCCAGAATTCCTCAGAGATTCCGATTCTAAAACAGAACTTTTTGACCATGCTGGAAGAGGGCCCTCAGAGAGCCAGTCATTTGGCTCAAAGTTGTCGACAGTCCCTAAAATGGCCCCACCTGCTCCGCCAGTAAAAACACAGAAGGTGAGAGAGTCGGGTTTGATCCTGAGGAACAGCCGGAGTGCAGGTCGGGAGCAGGGCCTTGATGCTGCCAAGAAGAGACTCTCGGTAACACACCTCTGCCTCCAGTCAAACTGAGCATCGCATGAGCTTCAGACAGACGCACCCATTGTTATTTTCAGTGACTTGAACCATTCATCCATTTAGCCTCTTTGAAGAAAGCAAACTTGTGTATCTACTGCTTTGGTTGAAATGTTTGCTTCATGATTGAATTTGCTCAAAATCAAGTTTGGACTTTTCTCAATGTGTCACCGTAACGTCACACTTTAAATTAATTAACATATTGATTAATATTCAGGATATATTTTCTGTCACAGTCATTAAATATGCTTTAAGGGTGTTTTAAGTCAAAATCTAAATTTGTCAAATTCAATATTAACAAGCTAATTTAGTTAGAAACCAATTGGTGTGTGGTCGTCAGGAGAGATTTTGTATTTTCTCTTGTGCCAAAGATGTATTGACTTTTACCCATCAATATGGTTCAAAGTCATTTTATTAATGAAGGCCTCACAGCATTCACAAAATAAAGTTGTAAAACGTCTACTGAATTATACCAGCTGTTCCAAACACATTAATCCTTTGGCTATGAAGTCTAAGTAGTAGATTTCCTGCATCAGTTTCACCAAAGCAGCATGGCTGCATTTGGCACAGGGAGTAGAAGATTAAATTCAAAGTTGAAAACTTCAATTGGCTTTCCTCATTTTCTTGTCATAAAAATGTGCATACATGGGAGCAATCTGAACTACTGCCAACCAATCATAAATTGAGCTAATATCTATATCATTATATTCAAACATTGATTTAGAGGCTCTTTGTGGACAGTTAAATGATCTGATCCATATTCAAATCCATGCTGCTAGTGTTGCATCATTCTATTTCGTGATAGCGATCATGCAATAAATGCATGCACATTTAAGATGCATGTTGTATGTAACATTTATGTTATACATGGCTGTATATGTATGTTGTTGATAGTAAAGCCATACTCAAAATGATATGTGACATAGTTTACGATATGTAAATACCATTTGTACATGCATGTCACAGTTCATAATTTTAGATCCAACATTTTTGCTGACATCTCTGTATGAAATGCAATACTAACCTAAACTTGGGTTCTCAATGTTAAATCTAATATAATAATCCTCATTAGCGTTTCAATTTCACACTGCATTTCCTTTTAAATTACCCAGAATATTAAGTCTATGAGCTCTCACATTGATTGCTTAATGGCCCTATGTGCTGGTGAGGAAACATGCAATCTGTATTGTACATGACTAAAACAGAATCCTAGTTTAGGTGGGTGTGTGTTGTACTTGTTGTCTGTATCTCTGTGTAACTAACCACTGTCATGCCTCTCTGCTACTCTGCTTCACTTTACAGGAACCTGTCTCTACTCCTGCCATTTATGAGGAACCTTTTGCAGATTTCAAGGTTTTTCAGGTCGATTTGTACATTGCTCTATGCTCATCCTTGATCTATTCTCATCCCACTTGACAGGCTGCATCTCTTTTTCTCTTCATGTAAAAGACAAAATTTAACAATTTATTTTGCTGTCTATTCATCATGGTCTTTTGTAAGATTTAGTTCCACAATAGATAACATTCAGTCTTGCAAAGCCAGAGATATCATATATCTTTTGAGTATTTCAGTAAAACTGAATTGAATCATACTCTGTTTTGCTATTACAATTTCCTACTGTCATTTTATATCCAGTTTTAGAGATCAAATAGCATTTCTAAGTACCACTGAACTGAATTATACTATGTTAGGTCTTTTACACATTTCTGTGGTGCATGTTGTTGAGTTTAAGACTAAGTGGACATGGAATTGCAATGAAAGTGGTTCAACTTGTCTTAGGCCTAAAATGCTAGAGAAATTTGTCCTCTGTATTTGACCCATCCTTCATTCCCACTGGGGGAACCTGCTAACAAACATATTAAGAAAATGTGTATAATAATCGGTATAAAGTAAATCAGACAGTAAAAAAGCATAACTTAACTCTTCCCTAGTGCAAATTCCATTCAGTCTATAAACGTTTAGTAAAACGTCTTGTTAGTAATTCAATTTTAACATTTTTGGATGCAACTTACAATTCAGTTCTCAATGTGCATTTTCACTTCATATCATCATAATGTAAACTGCAGCCTGGTTTTGAAGTGTTGTGTATACATCAGAAGGAGCTGGCGGAGAGGAAAACTGAGTACGGTGCTGCATCAGAGGAGGAGACCTTGTCCAGTGTGAGAGAGAGCCACCTGGGTATCGAACGCAAGTGCTCCAGCATGACCGTCAGCTCTACGTCTAGTTTGGAAGCAGAGGTGGACTTTACCGTCATCACAGAGCTGCAAACTGGTGCTGAGGACTACCACAGGGGGGCACCAGAGCCAGGAGAGAGGCAGCCCGAGGTGGGACGTGAAGACTTTGAAGAGACATCCAAGTTCTATTCTGCCAGGCTCATGGGCACCAAGTCGCCCCTGATGGAGGAGAGGTCTGAGGATCCCGGTCATCCTGAGGTAGATGGGTCTTCACTGTATGCCCACCACCCACGGACTCACCTGCCTGGAATTTTTGTTGGCTCATTTATTTTTCATTTATCATTCATTTCTTTTTGTTTTGGTTGTATATTTAGTTTTTTGTTATTTCTTTGTTGTTATTTATGAGATGATGAGTGCACCATGTAAGTTTTCTATTTTCTTATGGTCTGGTTATATCCATGGAGATATGTCAGGGAGATTGCATTCCGTGGAATATACCACAGTGTGGCATTAAACTTGCTTATTATTTAACTATAGGTGCTTTTACAATACAATAGCACCTCTCCACAAATTGGACTTAAAAATTGGTATGGTGGTTGTCTCCAGGGAAATAGATAAGTTTAATATCATACTGTGAAAAATTCAAGGCAAAGCAACAGTATCTCCATGGTGGCAGACCCTCCACCTGGAAAGTTGCACAGTGCACCTTTAATTAATTAATTTTATGTTAATTTGTCAATAGTGAGATGTTTTATTTCTGTTTATATCTGATGTAACTGACCTTCATATGTCATGTACAACCCCCCATCCTTTAACACTTCTCATTTATTTTAATATTTTGGTGAACATAACCTTCACATAATCTTCTCATCTACATCATATAGATATGAACCTTTTGTTTGGCTTTTTTACAGCCTCCAGTGGCCAGGAAAGAGCCCAGTTCAGTGAGAGTCTCCCACATGCTGAAGAAGTCTGAGATGCACACCAATGGATCAGAAGTCCACCACAACATCATGAACATAGAATCACAGGTAAACACACATCAAAATGTCAAACTAATTATGAACAATTTGTTTTCCCTTTGTTTGTTTTTTGTAAATGTGGATTGAAAATTTGTCAGGGAAATGAAAATCGGCAACCCATAGCACCCCATCACAAGAGAGCCCTGCAGGAGTTTTAATATAATGTGATTTGTGTTGCTGCACAGATTCTTTGGTGCCTCATTTACTTTCATTGAGCCTTGTTTAGCTCTATTGTAATTTAGTTCCAGAGTAAGACATAGTGGACTAGAAGTGAATTATACACAGCTAAACATTCAAATTGGTCACAATTATACCTATAAAATATCTATCTCAGTTTACTAACAACTGTTCTGGGATATTTTTTAAAACATCACAATCAAAAATGTTTTTCATAGTCAATAGTTACTATGTCCGAAATTATATATTCGTTATGTAAGAACAGTGTCGGGGAGTAACAGATTACATGTACCAGAGTTATGTAATCAGAGTACAAATTAAGAGTAACTGTATTCAGTTACAGTTACTGTTTCAGTGAGTGGTAAATGGATTACAGTTACTTTGTTAAAATAAATGGATTACATGGTGGCATTTTTCCGTCACATTTTCACATTTTGGGTCTATATCCCACGTCTCCTTCCGTACAACACCACTGTTCTCCTGTGCACCTCTAAACCAGAACTAACACCAGAGCTAACGCCAGGACTAAACCAGTCCAGGACTAAACCAGGTCTAAACTAGGACTGAACCAGGTCTAAACCAGGACTAAAATCAGGTCTAAACCAGGACTAAACCAGGTCTAAACCAGGACTAAAACCAGGACTAAACTAGGACTAAACCAGATCTAAACCAGGACTAAAACCAGGACTAAACCAGGACTAAACTAGGACTGAAGCAGGTCTAAACCAGGTCTAAAACCAGGTCTAAACCAGGACTAAACCAGGAACTAAACCAGGACTAAACATCTTATATTAAGTAAGTAAACAGTTGTTTATTCATGGAGACTTGGGCTCAACAGACAATTTAAAGAGAACAAACAAGAATTTTCAAGATGTGGTTGTTACATTCATGTAGTTTTAAAAAACATGACAATATCAAGTAATTCAAAGTATTCAGATTACGTTACTCACTTTATGTAATTTACTGGATTCTGTTACAAACTACATTTTGGGGGATGTAATCTGTAATCTGTAGGGGAATACATTTTAAAAGTAACCTTCCCAACACTGTAAGAATAAGCAGCTTTGTCATCAAGGGGATTTGATTTAATTGTCCAATCTATATCACAGGTAAATGTCAAAAAGTATTGCAATCCAAGTATTTCTAAAAATACTTTTACTTATGTATAGTTAATGTATAGTGGCCCCCTTGACCTGACCAGCCAGTCCCTTGTACATTCTGTTTGAATCCATCTGAAACTGAACGATGAAGCGTAAATCCACCGCCTTAACTTGGGCTGGTCCAATCACAGCCGCTAATTTGTATCACGTGTCTCTCACATGCAGATCAAAATACATGATTCTTTACCTGAGATAATAACAGTTTAGTGCTTTGATTCTTGTCGCCATGTTTGTTTTGACTCTAACAGACCATATGTCTCCCTGATTGGTTAATTCACCTGCCAGTCACGCCCAGCTGAAATTTGGGAGATAATAGGATATGGTTCCATATGGACTACAGTAGTTGTGGTAATGACTAATGAGAATCCAGAATAAAGGAGGAAGTGTCCGAAGCCTATTTCTATATCCACTAGTCCCATGGTCCAAATATGTGAGTGGCATAATAGCATCATTATGACTGATTACAGCATTGACAGGACATTTATGAGCAGGATGAAAGCAGGTGCCAGTCCATTCATGTGGGCACGCTGAGGTTTGAGATTGGCCCACAGGTGCATGATTAAACCATAATGGCGATGGCAGATCTCTTCAGCTGCAGCTAATGGCACGGATCAAGTCAGGCACAATGTGGACACGGGCTTTGAAGTGAGGGCTCAGTGGTGAGACAGATTTGCACAGACATCACAGTAAGCTTATGTAATGAGTGTCAGTATAGCTGCAATTAGCAATCAATGCTCCTGTACCGCTTTAGAGTGAACACATCCTGATAATAGCAAGTGAGTATGCACAGAAATGAACAAGAAACACAGGAAGTGCAAAAAAACTAAAAAGTAATTGATGATTAGAAAATTATTGATAATTAAAATGATTGTGCCACCTCGTGACAAAGCTTTGATTTTGAAGACGATGTTCAAGGCTCAACTCTCTGGCCTGACTGGCCATGACTTTTTCTATGGAGCATGTAGAAATGAGCATGAGAAACTGATAAATATGTTTATTGATTTTATTTATTTTGAAATTAGAATATAATCACTGACACAACAAGGTAGAAGTTGCTGAAACTCTTGCTCCAATTTAATGAATACATGCTTCCCCCTGGTGGACAATATTTGTGTCACCTTTTTGTGAAGAGTTAATTCTTTCAATGTCTTGTAGAAGCCTACATTTATTATTGTAAAATGAAAATTATTCCGCAAGATTTTTCTTGTAAGTTTGCTAATGCACACATTCAGATAAGTAAACAGACGTTTGTGTGTGTTCCTTAGAGCTACAGAGAGATCAGCCCACGGGATGTCTCTGCATCAGTTTCCATTAAAGAGAATGGCTCACCTGTAAGTACAGCTGTGAGGAGATGAATGTGTGTTGGATGGGGTAATATATATATCATGAATATATAATGAAATGTGATCAAATGTGTGTGTTCTATTTGTGACAGGTAAAAGGCAGCGCTGTGGGCAGGGAGTCAGTTGTGTCCCCTCTGACCATCACTGCTGAGAGTGTCACCTCGGCAACCACAACTCAAGTTACCAAGGTAACACTTCTTCTGTTGCCATGATTACTGTTACACTACAGAGGTTTCAAATACATGATGGTTCTTCAAAAGAAAAACAAACAAACAAAAAAACTGCATATATGACAAATTCAACACGTTATCGTCTCTAAACACAAATAATAATAATGCATTGGATTTATATTCAATTTGGATTTATATTCAAGACACCCAAAACACGTTACAGTGCATTATTAATTCACTCTACTCAGTTACGGTCTACTATAGCCACAAGTGCCCCATGATTTGATCACACTTTAGAACTGGAATGTGATCAAATCTTAAACACCCACAATTCAAATAATGTGGAAATTACATCTGACAGTGCCTTAGCAGTTTGATGTTGTGTGTTTTTGTGCATTTTCTGTTTGGTCTAACTTATGTTTTCACTCAGTTGCTTTGATAATTGTGCACTCTCTCTCAGACCGTGAAGGGTGGCTACTCAGAGACTAGAATAGAGAAAAGGATAATCATCACTGGGGACGATGATGTGGATCAGAACCAGGTATCTGCTTGTGTCTTCTGAAGTGGTGCTACCTGCAGTTTTAATATTCAGTAGTAAATGGATCCATAATGCTCTGTGCTCTGCCCTGTGTCCTCAGGCTCTAGCTATGGCCATCCAGGAGGCCAAACAGCAGCACCCAGACATGCTGGTGACAAAAGCTGTGGTAATCAGAGAAACAGACTCCCCCACTGATGATCTACAGCACAGGACTCAGGTACATGACTACTAACTTACCAACGCAGGAGCCTATTTTTCATTTTGTGGCAGCAGTTTGTTATTGCCAGTCATGATAATCATATTGGTCTAATGCACTAAAATCTAATTTAGTTCAAGATAAATCTGTGGGAAATCAAACTGAGAATGTATAGTCTGTCTGTTTAAATGATGACCATATTACTGTACTTTTTATCATTATTGTGTGTGTGTTTGTGCCTTTGCAGTCATGATTGATCCTGGAACCTGTGAGGGGCCTCTAGGGGACCCTGATGTGTGGTCTGCACAAAAATCCACCTCCCTGTAGAAGAGGACCATATCACTACTATGTACATACACACAACAACAGACCGCCTTCACCTAGTAGTACTCCTCTTTAGACAAATCAACTGTGACCCCGCCTTCTGTCCACTCCTAGCCAATCTTAGCACTCTATTTGAAAGACACTCAGAGAATGACTTTTTGCTTCAATAGAGTGTGACTGTTGTTAATATATGACTTTGGTTTGCTCATGGCTATTTAATCCAACCTGGATTTATAAACTCAACCCTCTTCCATTTCAGAGACTTATTTGTAGACATGAACATAATGTAAAAATGCAGAAGAGCTGAGGAACAGCCAGGGTAAGGCTGGTATGGAGACATGGTGCAAGGATGGTGCCATCTCCTGGCCACAACATGTCAGTGTAACCAACAGCTACTATTATTATTACAAGCTTTTTACATTTTTATCTATATAGGATCTAATTTATGTTGAGTGTTTGCTTGTTTATGAAAATATGTATAATATCTTATATTATGATCTGCATGAAAATTTGAGCTGAGGGGATGGCTGATTGGAGGGGACATTATGAGCTTTGTTATGTTGAGCACCTTGAGAGACACTGGTCCCACAGACCCGAGGGACATGCAGGTGATGGACTCCTGCTTACGCCTGTTCTCACTGGATATTCACTGTGTCCCCCTGCTGTCACAGCCTGCTGTTGTCATTGCTGGTCATGCATTTCACTTGATTATTCAAACTGAAAAATGTTGGTCATAGTAATATAATAACATTGTTTTATTAGATATACATTTTAAAAAGTTATCTTTTCTGCCATGTTTTATTTATGATGGTGTGTTGTTGGATTTTTCAGGCTTTTGTGTGTAGCTCACTGACTTTGTCATACTTGATGAGTTTGGCCCTAATACATTCTCATTTATGATTGATGTCATATTCAGTAATATGACAGCACAGTGGGATTATTTAAGGTGATGAATGTAAGAGCTAATGGTTACCAGTTTAACTATCTGGCCATTGTTGGGGCTTTGAGTAGGCATCAGTTTAAACATGTTGGTATGGAGTTGACATCATATATTAATATTACAGCATTAATGTGTGGCTCTGTCACTGTATATATCTTTATATGATATGAGTCTTCAAAGGGATCTTTTAGAAGTCAGTTTTTCTTGATGGCAAGCTTATGGTATCCTTATAATGTACCAAAGTACGAGTGCCATGTTTCAGTCAATGCCATAATAAATCTATTTCTCATTACTATAGAACTATGTATTATACACTTGCCCATAGTCACACACTGCCTGGAACATCCATACACACTTTGGGTACTTTTCTGTTGGTTGAATATTTAGTTTTGCTGTATGTACATTTATTTATATGAGGAAGTGGATAGGAGCCCTGTGCTTTTCCTCTCTGACAGATGAAGTCAAGCCCTGCTAAGTGTGTCCCATAGCAACCAAGTATCCAAGCTCCACATTATAACTCTATAAAAGTATATCCAATTGAACCTACTATGCACCAATTACCATCTGCTCCAGCTAGGGCCGAACCCATGCTCTCACCGTTTTACGCTACAGTAGGGAACAGTGGGGTTTTGTTAGACTTGCAATAAACTCCTCTCCTCAGCCACATGTGTATAGAAGCATAGCAAACTCAAAGGAAAACTGCTGGAATCTTATTGCACCATTGACTTGAAAATGTTCACCTATGGGGGGAAATATAACTTGATACGTTATCAAACACTGGACTTAAGCAAAGGATAAACTGCACACTGAAATGATTAGGAAAATGGCTGCACTACTGATAGAGCTCACACTGGGGAAGTATAAGGCTTGTACAAATATATAAATATAGTAATAAATCTGTGTTATGGCTTGTATATCTCCACCAGGAGCATGAATGTGGGAGGACAGAGGTGCAATAAGAACACTACTTGAAAGGGTGCCTTGCGTTTTGGTGAGCCGCCACAAAAGTGTCTTGAAAAATGGAAAGCGGTGATAATAGATTAGTTATGGTTCAATATTTCATAACTTTTCCAGGCCCTGTTACAGTGATATAGAACCAGCAGTACATGAACACGTGCTTTTCCCACTGTCTAGCGCCCCCTGTTGATTCTGCGTGGCCTTTTTCGCTCCACATTCTTGCATCACAGTGCTTGGTGGTGTGTTTTTGCTGTAACTTGCATTGAGTCTAAATGGAAACATACATGCAAAAATAAATGTCTCAGTATGATTCAAATGTTGTGTCTGATTATAAAAAGAGGAATGACGTTGTATCTTATTATTATCAGTATAGTCTACACACCCTGAGATTTAACCTCTATAATAAAGGGCTTTTTGTAATGTAACAGTGTTGCAGGTATTATTGTTGCAACCTGTCGCCATCTTGTGGAACTGTCTGGAACTGGTATACTCAAGCACTTTCTCTGTGTATTTTATTGTCATCTAGTGTCTATTCACTTGAACGACAAGAACTGTAAAATTGAAGAGACGTGCTGCTAATTTCTTACATATTTAATTCCGCGGCATGATTACATTTTTTAACACTTCCACATCAGTTACCTATACATAAGTCTGTGTGATCACACTTATATCACTCATTTCACTTCGAATTAAATAAAGCAAGACCCAGTTATTCATATATAGTTTTAATAATGCTAAAATGAAAGTGCGTTTGTGATTTTGACATTCCAACACATTTTGTAGTTGAATCTTTTGACCTTTACTCTACCATTTGCACGCTGATACATCTTTTGTCTGTTGGGTGGGTGCGAGATTGCTGCCATACATCTGTCAGTCTGTCCTGCGGTAAATATTCCACCATCTTTGCACCATCGGTTATAAGCTACTTTAAAAGTGCTCTATGTAACTTCTGAATTGGAGGGTTTTCTACTTGCTTGTCTCCATGGAGATCTTTTCTCTTTGACTGGAATGTTCCACAGTAGAACTTTAAACTTAAATCTCCCTTGCATTTGTTCAATAACAGATAATTTGTAGCTTAAAGGTTGTATGGAGGATTTTTTTTTACTTTCAAATTGTCAATGAAAGTTTAAAATACTGAGAATACAGAGATGGAGCAGCCTTGTAATTATGACAAAAAAAATAAATAAAAAAATGAAAAGAATGAAAATCGATCAACTGTGGACGTAGTGAGGCCAAATAAACATCAGCCAATAGAAAACAAGACTACCTCATTTTCTATTGGCTGTTCGGTTGTCGATCAAACTCCCTACCTTTCTAGTGTAACTGACTCACGGGCGCGTGGGGATTACGTGGTTTATGCAGCAGTTCTTGGAGGCTTTTTTAAACTGTAGCTTCTTTGCAGATCGCACAAAATTTGTTGAGATGGTGGACGAGAATCCACGAGCAGTTCCCCACAAGAGAAAGTCTGTTTTTGAGGTTGCTGAAAGAAGAAAAGTGGAAAAGGAGCAAAGACAAACTGAGGTGATTCTTGGAGATCTCGTCCAGCGATTTCGCGAATGAAGAGGACGAAAGGTCTAAAAACGGACGTATCGGTCGCTAAATTATTTCTACACAGGTCACTTCAGTGGTAATTCTGAACATGCACTGGCTGTAAAAAAAAGCTTGATTTCTGGAGTAAGGAGGCAGGAGAAGGTGTTTCTACTGAGGGACCTGTGGAGGAGGAAGGTGGTGTCACACACGCACAACATTTGAAAAAGGACTGTCGCTGTATTTCTTTTCCCTTAAAAAATCCTCTATACAACCTTTAAAACAAGCTTTTCCATACATCTGACCACTAACCTGTCTCCACTGTGATTATTCCACAGTATGGAAATAAACTTGGTAATCAAGTCAAAACAGTAATATCTCCATGGAAACAAGCAGACCCCCTGAAAAGTTACACAGTGCATCTTTAAGAGTGAATGAACTAATTGTATGCTGTGATAAGTGAGAATAATTCAACTAAACCAACTCTTACAATTCTAAAAATCAAGGGTAAACTCAAGATCTGTTTTTTTCCCACCATATATAGAGCTTAACCTAATACAGTCCCTGACAAAAGTCTTGTCACTTATCCATTTTGTAGAAACAAAAGCTTATAACCTTTAAATTAATCGATTGGTTTTAGAAATGTCTCATATGAAAGCTAAAACCCTCCCAAATTATGCTCAATATACTAAAATAAATTTGCTTCACTGAAGAAAGATTGATCATTTAATGAACACAGAAAGGTCAGATTTTGGCAAGACAAAAGTTTTGTTGCCTACAGAAAATTGAACAAATAATTTACTTCAAATACAAAAATATGTTGCATAACATCAGTGAATGAAGTAGTGGTGCTGTGAGATCCAGATTTAATATCTTGTATGACTCCATGAGCTTGAAGGACGCATCCATGCGGTTCAACAATGATTCATACAATTTGTTGATGAAGTCATCAGGAATAGCAAAGAAAGCATCTTACATGCCTCCCAGAGTTCATCAAGATTCTTTGGTTTTGCCTTCCATGCTTCCTCTTTCATTCTACCCCAGACCTGCTCAATGATGTTCATGTCTGGTGACTGGGCTGGCCAGTCCTGGAGCACCTTGATCTTCTTGACCTTGAGAAACTTTGATGTAGAGATAGAAGTATGTGATGGAGCACCATCCTGCTGCAAAATTTGACCCCTTTTATGGTTGGGAATGAAAGAGGAGCTAATACTTCTTGATATTTTAGGTTATTGATATTTGCCTTCCACCCTGCAAATGTCTCACACACCCCAGACTGGATGGAACCACAGACCAGGATTTTTCCGCCACCAAACTTAACTGTTTTCTGGGTGAATCTTGGATCCATGCAGCTCCAGTAGGTCTCCTACAATATTTGCAGCGGCTGTGATGTAATTCAACCGAGGATTCATCTGAGAAATCCACCTTCTGCCACTTTTCCAGTGTCCATCCTTTTATCAGGCTGTGGGCCTTGGCAAATGCCACACGGTTTTTTAATTGCCTTTTGTTTAGTGCTGGTTTCTGTGCACTGATTCGACCATGGAGACCATTTCGAGACAGAATTCTACAAACTGTTGTGGTTGACACAGGGACTTGAGGTGACCAGGCCTGGTGGAGTCTGCTGCAGTGGAAAAGGGGCCTTGGATTTTCGAATCAACAAACGGTCCTCCCGAGCAGTTGTCTTGTGGGGTCTGCCGGACCTGGGCTTGTCAAAAACATCTCCAGTCATTTCAGATCTTTTTCTTATTCTTTGTACTTGATGCTGAGACACATTGAAGGTGTCACCACCTCAGCAGTGGATCTGGTCTTCAGCCTCTTGATAATTAACGCTTTGGTCTCAGGGTGGATCTTAGGCATGTTGTCAGAGGTCAAGTTGCAGTTGATGTGAAGGTCTGGTGTGCTGGGGTTCTTTTTAAACACCCGCTAATTGATTGATCAGTAACTGATCACAGGTGAGGCTGTAATCTAGGATTGGGTGCATCATATGACAAGACGACAAGACATTTGTCTTGCCAAAATCTGACCTTTCTGTGTTCATTAAATGATCAATCTTTCTTCAGTGAAGCAAATTTATTTTAGTATATTGAGCATAATTTGGGAGGGTTTTAGCTTTCATATGAGACATTTCTAAAACCAATCGATTAATTTAAAGTCAGGTTATAAGCTTTTGTTTCTTCAAAATGGATAAGCAACAAGACTTTTGTCAGAGACTGTACATGGACATGTACAACAGGGGCAGATTTTTGACATTCAAATGTCTCTTATTCAGAAACTAGAGGGACTATTGAAATAAGTAAAGTATCAGAATGTAGGAAAGAGTTACACTCCAACAGGGTAAAGTTAAACCTGTGATATTCTTTCGAGTTGTTGACAAAAAATTTTAAAACTCATGTCGGTAACAGAGGGAATGAAATATGCAGCACTTTTTGAGCAATAAATACAAACAGTGATAACTAGTGGTTCTCACTTACATATCCTTAACAAACTGGTTTGAATATTTGCTTCATATAGTTTTCTACCATATGGTACAAGATTAGGTTGAAAAACCTCTTACATTTTGAGTCATGAGATTTTTTATTAAGAAAGGTCATGGTAACGGAGGGAAAAGTAACAGAGGGAAAATTGTACAAGCAAGTAGAAGGTGCAGGATTTTGCATCATTTGTCGCTTTTTTCTTCTGAATACTTTAATATTACTTCAAAATGAAAGGAAACTATTTCTATAAAATATGTCAGTCCTTCCAAGCAAATTTTAATCATTTTAAATACTTTTTTTTTTTTGAAAAAATATGTACCTTCAACAGTTCAAAGATGGAATAACACAAGATATGATGAAATACATCCATTTATTGACATGATTTGCAGGTCTTTGAAATTTGGGAAATAATTTTTGTTCCATGTTTCATACATGGTCTGTTTAAAACGTATGGAACTTTAGAACCAAAAATGGTCCAGAAAAAAGGTCAACAGTTTCATAAACTAGAGTACATATGTATCTGTTCAATACATTTTTATATCAGATGCATTAACTTGAATTTTTGGCCTTGCTGTTTACTTCTGCTTGACCGGGCCCATTTGCTTCTTAAGAAAAAGTAACAAGAAAAGTTTCACCCCATTTATGTATGAATAAAAAGGCTTGGAGCTTTGGAATTAACCTGGACGACTAAGGGATTACACAGACAAATCTTGGACTAGTTTTATAAATCAAATATCTTTATTAACACAGTATAAACAACAAACAGCGACAGAGAAAGCTCTCTTATGAAGCGTTCATGGACCTAGGAAATCTCAGAAGGGCTGACTGTTACAGGAGCATTGACACATATATACGTAGATGACCAGTAGCTGACCAGTCATGACCGGTTTGATTCAAAGAGTCTCTTTGCAGATGGAAAGGACACACTACAGTCATGCTAAGCAACAGTTAGAGTATGAAACTCAGTGGTTACATAAAAACCAACTAACTCATTTCTTTAGAAAGGTTCTTTAATATAAATGATTCCCAGTATACAAAAACTGTATCTTACATGTTTCAGAACCCCATAGCAGGTTTACTTTTCGAAGCACTACAAACTACCATTAAACAGGTTTCGTTCACCTTCTACAATTTGATGTCATCATTTCATCTGGAGGTCAAGGGCCTATCCATGGGTGATGGAAAAATTAGGATTGTTGCCAGAATTATTATGGATTTAAACCAAAAATATCCTGTTTTGAAGTTGTAAATATACTGTAGGAGATACATTTTTAAAAGAATATCTGAACTTATTAGCTGCAAATATTATGAACCTTATTATTTGGCTCCACAAAAAAGCCATATTAATATTATGGCTTGAAGTCTTTTGACATTGACAATAATCATATCTTGGAATAATTTCACTTTCTGAAACTAAGTTGAAAAAAACAAAACAAAAAAAGCCCCAAAACTTTATTTATGCTGTCAGAATATATCATTTATATATAACTTAATGTTAGTAAACAATATCTGTATTATGACAGTTATAGAAGCTTCTTCCATAGAATTCTGACTTGTAATGCAGCTCAATTTGAAGCTATCGAGAATGTTTTGATGTCGTGTGACCCCAATCTATGATCTGTGAGCTACATTGAGTGCTCTGTATGTCATTACGCTTGGGCAGCTTTTTCCACACACCTTTTGGAGACTAATGAAAGAAAAATAAGTAAGCAGCATCGTCTTTTATCAAGAACACACACCTATAAAAAAAACGCTGCCATACTGCAGAGTCCCATGCAACATAGCAGTAGCCCATTCAGGCTAACCTGTGAGCATTGCACATAAAGGCTACTGCTATCCCCACGTTTCCCACCACTACTTTAGCATGTAAACGTCACACGCTACTTCTGATCTAAATGTTACCTTATGTACACATGAGAAGTTAAGGCTTGTTAAGGACCTGAGGTTTTAAACATATGATGAGGCACACAGAAGGCAAAGAAGAATAGCTCTAAACAAAAGGGCTAGTAACCAAAAGAGTGAGGAGCATGAGAGAGCAACCAACAGTGCACTTCAAATGGCATTTAAGGCGAAACACTAACAATTACACACATCAAATAAATGTAAAAACTTCTCTTGGTAGCAATAAATAAATAAATAAATACATACATACAGTACATAAATAAAACAGACTGAATAAATAAATAAATAAATAAATAATACTTGTAGTGTTCCGTCTTAAAAGATACGATAAGAAACCCGAATTTGTACAGGATATGATGGCATTTGATGAATTACATGACATTTTTGGATGATCATGACTCCCACATTAGGGCTGCTTTTTCCACAATATTCTATTTAAATAAATATATATTTTTTTTATCCAAACACATATCATACAGTCTTATAGTTGCAGTGTGAAGCCCTTTGATGACATCTAGAGGTGACATTTGAGAATGCAATCAAATGTCTCAGAGAGATGCTCTATGGATGTATGGCCTGTGAACATCTACGGTTGAATAAATGTTTTGCACTTTTAACATATTCAGTCCAAGCCTGTCACAAACAGCCATTGTATTTCTTACATCTGGTGTAGCCACAGACTGAAATATAAATAAATCATTTAGAAACAGCCATGGCTTCTAAAGAAATCACTTTCCTGATGAGAAGATCAGGAGGCAATCCTAACTCAAAGAAAATGTTTACAAAGGGTTTCCAAGTTTATTAGAGTAGGGGTTCCACCTGTCACATAAAGGACTGGAGTTTTAAAGGAAAGTGCTGTACTCAGTTGAAATTACAATTTAAACTAGCATTAGCATTGCATTATCCAAACGGTTGGAAAAAACAGTATTAGCCAGCTGCAAGATTTTTTTTTAAAGTAGAATTACCAACAAAAGCTAAATGTTGTAGTCGACGTAAGATGTTAACACGTACATGACCTCCTTAAAATAACAGAATGATCAGCATTCATTCTTACAACATATTACAACTTAAATGAAACAATCTGTAATTATCTATGTATATTTTTTAAGATAAACATGCACCGGACTTCTGTAGTGCTATTCCTCTCACAGAGGGGTTCAGTGGATAGCCAGCATGTTTGATGTTGTTTTGAGATATTGCTAAACTCAAAAGGCAGATATGTAAAGGATAACAGTTTATTCACTGGAACAGACAATAAAGAAAATGCTACCAATTACTATTCCCTTCCTTTGTGACTGCCACTTTATCTCATGCACACAACTGTTCTTGCCCCGATAAGCCTGGCCCTAGTGTTTATAAAGGAAACAGATCTATAAAAAGCTCCATGTACCGTACAAAAAGATGCATATAAGACATTGTTCTATTTATTTTTCTTACGAAAGCTGCTTTGGTAACAACGTAGTCAGGACATCAGTCATTCTCTGTTCCGTATCCCAGCCACTCGCAGGGGACTCCACTGGTGCCTCCATGGTGCGTTGCTTTTCTTCTCATCGCTAGCTTCTCTCTGCATCTAAAATCTAAATGAATGGATTTAGTTACACCACGGTACAGCCCCAGTTTGCATTGGGCCTTAGCGTTGTCTCCAAGTCAGATGCCCCGTCTGCTGGGAGCCATATGTCATAAAGATGTCCGTGCTGTGAATGACAGTGCTATTGTGCTGAGCGCTGACAGAGTGGAGACCTTGGACGCGGAGCCCACTGCGTTGGGGCCTGAAAAACATTCAAAAACAAAGTGTTAGGGGGAAACACTCATGGTTGTCATAACAATCACCTGTTACTGTTACGCTTTGGCATCAAGTGGCAGTGTGTACACAGCTCTATCCAAACATGGATAGACCAATAATAAACCAGTAGACAGGACAAACCCAAAGATGAATTAAACTACAGTATGAACTCCTGTCAAATGACTCTTCAGTGACAGTCCATATTGTATATTTTAGATTTTTTTTTTTTTTGTCAAAGTTTATTTTATTTCTAATACCTTATAAAAACAATCCAAAATCAAAACGCAATAGAAACCATCCAAAATCATAGCAGAACTAAAATTAAAACTGGGTCAACAACAAAAACAAGTCACTATGGAAACAGTAGGATGAGACAGTTGTAGTGTAAATGGCCAAATGTATGCAAGTCCCGTGAAATGGTGCTGCACACTGAGCGCAATTATACACAAGTCTCTTGTAGCTTTATCTTCCCCTAATTCTGTCTGAAATGCTGACAGACATTTTGCACACAGCAACAGGGATTATTTAGGTGAGTCATCTGGACCTTTCAATCAGCTTTGCAATACAGTCATTCAGATATTTAGTTCATGGTTTACAATACAGCCCTGTCTTGTTTATACATGCATACAACTTTGGAGCTCATATGTTTTTGTGAATAAGTCAAAATAACAGCTTTAATCAGTAAAAGCAATATTTGATTTGAAAATGTTTACCTCATATTTAGTTTATACACATTTAAATTACATTGTATTTAAATGACATTGTGTTGTCTTCTATGTTTTTGCTCCCACACTGACCTGGTATTCTAGGGATGGTGATCTGTTGTGTGCTGCTGCCCTCCCCTCCCTCTCCAAACGGCTTAATCTGGATGATATAGTCCTCGTCTGTGGGCAGTGCCAGCTCTACCGACGTCGTGTTGGTCTCCATGATGTGAGGGCTGCTGTTTCGGTTCTTCTTGTAAAAAACCTGAGAAGTAAATGATTAAATGAGCCACATAACAAAACAACAACAACAACTTTGACCTGAATATAGAGATCTAGAAGGATCACCTTGTAGCCTGTTACTTCAGACTCATTCTCCAGGGCCTTCACCTGCTCCCAGTTCACTATGATCTTTGAGTTTGATGTATTCCACATCACTTTGACTGGAGGTTGGCTGGGAGCTGAGGGGACAGAATTCATCCATCATGCTTAAAAGGTAAACCGAGTGGCACAAAATGTTTTAACTTCTTTGAAATATAACTGTTACAATCACTTGGGGATTTCAAACTCTGCTTTTTACCAAGAAACAAAAAAAAATCTGTTTAAATTTGGTTAATAATATTTTGCCAAGTGTTGAATGAGGTGTTAAATGTGCCATATGGAGTCATTTTAACACAAATAAAATACTAGAGTGAATAAACCGCTATAATACAACTGCTGCAAAATGTTGTCCAAAATGATACATAGTTGTTGTCCAAATGATGGATATGCTTTTTCAGATTTTAAGTCTGGGAAATGTGATCATTCTTAACCCTTAGGGAAAATGTTTATAATAATTTCATATTATTTATACAGTTTCCTTGCGACAAATGAAATGATAGGAAACTCTAGTCCTATATTATGCAAAATTGGCTCTTGTGAGGTTTTACACAGTGTTTGAGTATGTTTGAGTAACTCTTTATTATTAGTTTGTCTATATCTACAAAACTCAAAATGCTCTGTTCCACCTTGTGACGTTATATAGTGGTAGTTTTCTTTTAGCTTTTGTTCTGTAGAGACAGGAAACTCCAGGGCAGAAATGAGCCAAATGATTCTACTGAAGGTGTATGGAGTTGAAAAACACAGTGGAGCACTTCCTGTATTACCATGTGACCTCACAAGGTGTTTTCTGTTTGAGAGAAAATCTAAATATGCAGTGTTTGTGTGTTCAAAATGTGTGAATGAAACAAAACACAACAGATATGTTCGTGATGAGACAACAGTATAACATATACCTATATATATATATATATACTGTATATACCAAGTCAAGTGGTAACGGAGGGAAACAGGGGCAGATTTTTGACATTCAAATGTCTCTTATTCAGAAACTAGAGGAACTATTGAAATAAGTAAAGTATCAGAATGTAGGAAAGAGTTAACACTCCAACAGGGTCAAGTTAAACCTGTGATATTCTTTCAAGTTGTTGACAAAAAATTAAAAAGTTCATGTCGGTAACGGAGGGAATGAAATATGCAGCACTTTTTGGGCAATAAATACAAACAGTGATAACTAGTGGTTCTCACTTACATATCCTTAACAAACTGGTTTGAATATTTGCTTCATATAGTTTTCTACCATATGGTACAAGATTAGGTTGAAAAATCTCTTACTTTTTGACTAATTAAATTTTTTATGAAGAAAGGTCATGGTAACGGAGGGAAAAGTAACAGAGGGAAAATTGTACAGACAAGCAGAAGGTGCAGGATTTTACATCATTTGTCGCTTTTTTCTTTCCCAATACTTTAATATTACTTCAAAATGAAAGGAAACTATTTCTATAAAATATGTCAGTCCTTCCAAGCAAATTTTTATCATTTTAAATACTTTTTTTTTTTTTTTGAAAAATCATGTACCTTCATCAACAGTTCAAAGATGGAATAACACAAGATATGATGAAATACATCCATTTATTGACATGATTTGCAGGTCTTTGAAATTTGGGAAATAATTTTTGTTCCATGTTTCATACATGGTCTGTTTAAAACGTATGGAATTTTAGAACCAAAAATGGTCCAGAAAAAAGGTCAACAGTTTCATAAACTAGAGTACATATGTATCTGTTCAATACATTTTTATATCAGATGCATTAACTTGAATTTTTGGCTTTGTTGTTTACTTCCCATATATATTAGAAAATAGTGTAATATTTAAATTGATTGAGAATGAGTAAACACCATAAATAAATAAAGAAATACAGTTGGGCTTAACCGCAATGGGATTACCAATTATTGCACAGTGTGACTGGTTCAGTTTGGTTTAACACTAATGAATACATACATTCTGTGTTACTTACGAGGTTTCTTGGTGGTGACGTTGACAGTAGAGCTGGGGGGTCCTGTCCCAGCTGTGTTGTATGCCCTCACTGCGATGTAATATGTGGCGCTGCCTTTGAGTCCCCGGATAACGGTGGATGTTTGGTTACCCACAGTCCTTTGCACATTGGCTGTATCTTCCTTCTCACCTTTGACCCAGTACCTGAGCTGAGAAAGGCAAAACCAAAGATCTTAACACACAAATCCAAAAGCACTGGAGTCTGCAACAGAACTGACAAAAAATGGTTAGATTAATGTGGTCTCTGTTATTGCATGGGTAGCTTATATCCTGCCGTTAGTGGCATGAAATGTATGACATAATTAATTATAGCATTTAAAGATGAGATACTGCCCCCCTCAGTGCTACATTGGGTCAAACTATAAGGTTAAGAATGAAACAAAAAGCTGTGTACGGTAAGTTAACAAAGTTGAGTTTAAGCAATTTATTTTTGATCAATCTTATAATAATATCTGGACAGTAACTTTTGAAATAGTACAAAGATCAATTATTTTAAGAAGATTCTTAAGGCCTATACCCGATTTTTCCCCATGAATGTGAGCAAAATTCTCAAGTACGTATATATTGTAAAAGCAGCTCTTGAGGTAAAAAATAAATCCTCTGTGCTCTCTGCATCTAAATAGAAAGCGCTGTATTGTTCGATAATCAGGAAGTGTGCGTTTGCATGCTAGTTGTTGTTGTTAGCTTTATTGTCACAGGAAAACTCTGCTTTTGTCAAAAAGCGCTTATTAAACTCATTGGGGTGAATTATTACAATGCTTGACATGCACAAGTAAGTGAGGAAAAACTTTGGATCACTACAAATTGTTAAAAATGAACTAATTCTGTTTTTCACATTTTTAAGACAGTAAAAAAAATACAGTGACTTGAATGACATTTTATTTGGTGTAGGTGCACAGAGATGGCTAAACAAACATTGCCTCACTGTTTTGTTCTTGAGTTAAATTGCGCTTCAAGACGCAACATTTAACAATACACCAAAGTCAAGAGAAAACAAAGACAATACTAAAGTAACCATTGTTGTCAACTTTTGCAAAAATCTGTTTTCTTTGTGTCAGACTGAAATAGCCTGAATGCTTGATAGCACAAATATAATTTGTCTCTCCTAACAGGAACATGTTACTCAAGCCTTGCTTCTCCACTGACTTTGAGTGGTCAACAATTTACAATTCTGTCACTTTATTTGCGGTGTGTGAATGAAATCTTTTGTGTAGGCCTGTCACAATAACATATAGACAATAAGCAAAAATACTGAACCAAAATTATACCACTGACACAATAAACCAAGAGCAGATTTAAACCACAAAGCTATTCTAAATCTACAATATTGCTGAAACATAATGAGCTAAAATAAGTAAATAACTGAATGAAACACTTTAGCAGTTTCTGTAATGACTTATAGAAGTTATTAATTCAACCTTTAATGGCTCAGATCTCACCATATTGTCAAAAAATTACCAAGCATTTCCCAATAGTGAAAAAACATACATACAATAAATACTGACCCTAAAAATATCTTGTTTCAGCTTCCATATACTGAATGGTAAGTTGCTGTAGTAATTATCGTGACAGGCCTACTTTTGTGTTTGTTTTCAGTGAGTACAATTCAAAAGGACAAGAGACAAAAGTGAACAGAGCCAGTGAGTGCTTAGGGAGCACACTGTTGTATGGAACAAGAGCTAAATGTTCAGACCCTCCAGAGTATTGCATCAGTGCGCTAATCAGCAGAGGTGCAGTACTTAGGTAAGCAACACCAGGAACACATCTTAAGCCACAGGCACGGGACTAGACAAGGCAATTATGCATGCAGCAGGCTATTATCTCCTACGCCCAGGGTCCACAAGTCCCAAACGCTCATCAATAATACAACACAACAAGATTGAAGGCATTAGTTAGCATGTCATGGCGCACACAAGCAGAAGTCTGTATGCACTCACCTCGTAGCCCAATACTCTCTTCTTGCTGGCGTTCCAGGGCAGGGCTTTCCACAGCACTTCCACTTCAGAGGCAGACAGGCTCCTGGCCCGGACCCTAGTGGGCGCACGGCCAGGCTCTATACGTAATAAATAATGAGACAATGTAAAGTTCATAAGAGTCGAGAAATCATCTTTTGCTCAGTACCTGCACTTTTAAAAGGGCCCAAAACCACTATTTTCTGATCGTAGTGTGAAGGGCTAGGGAGAGGGAATATACCTGGAGTTGTGTTTTTTTTTTTTTCAGTTACACATGTTTAACACAGACAACCTGTATATTTAGGCTGAATTCTTGGCCCTTTTCCAAAGCAGCTCCTATACTCCCTCTCCCTAGCCCTTCACATTACGATCTCTGTGAAGTTCCCTTCGGAGGTCCCTTCATCTCATAGATCTATAATAAAAACTCCCATATTCTCTTTTATACAAGTGTCTTTGTACAGTTCACTGTAAAACCCCTTCTCTCAGCCCACATGACTCAATCTTGTGTTATCTACGACCTTTAAATAAATATAATAGTACTTTAATTACTTAAATAACAAACGCAGATTTCAACATTATTGGTATTACAGCATAGTATTCCTTAAAATACTGCCCGTGTTCCCTCAATGGGCAGGTAGGTTTCATTGCAAAAGAAAAATTAATTTTGTCAAGTGAACAAAAGTTTGAGTAAATATGTTTTGCTACTCAACCTACTCAAGTAGCTTCTTCAGTTCTGACAGTGTTCTGTAAGTCAATGCATTATATCTGTCTGCACTGAGGAGCTAACTACACTAAAACTAACACACCCTTGTTATTTATAGTAAGGAGTCAAGGCCGTAATAAGAAATAAAGTGTCGTGAGTATACCACATGCAATTATTAAATACTGAAATCATATATTTGTTTAAATATTGTTAATGAAGTCACACAATTAATATTTAACTACTGAAATCTGATATATGTGTTTAAAGAAACTGCTGTGTAGATCGTGTCTTTTTAAGGAAATTCTGTACAGAGCAGCTCATGTGGGGGTCATCCTGGCTGGCACCAAACCTAAATAGACATGGCTATAATTGAAATCTGGTGGTCATTCCCATAAACGGAGAGGCTTCAGGGAGGATCCAAGGAGTGTACCTGCTCAACATATCACTTGCATATTTCTGTGAATGTATATATACTGGGTGAAGGGACAGACGCAGGTGTTCAGACTGCCTGAAATAAGTCCTGTGTAGAATAGGCCATCAGAGCTCTGTATTAAAATTGTATTGAATAGGGAATACATTTTTGTGATTTCAATCGATCGATTCCAGTCATTATTTTCTACAACTGGAACAAGCCAACAGGAGACATATTTCATTCATGCCCCTGATGGCTCATTTAACTCCAGTTAGCATACTCTGATTGGTCTTATTGTTTTCTTTGTTTTGGTTTGAGTCTGAGGATGGAGTGTACCTCAGACATCCATTTCAGTTCATAGGTGGACTGTCTTTCCAAATACATCCTCTCCTCTCTGAACCATTTCACAAAATCGCCTCTTCATCATCTTAAAATCTCTTATACCATATGTGCATGTCTGTACCTTCCTCCGCAGAGTAGATCGTGGTGACAGGTCCAAAAGGGCCCTCCCCCTCGTTGTTGTAGACCCCCACCTTCACCTGGAAAGGGGAGAATGGCTGGATACTCTCGTTCTTGAAGACGTATCTGGAGGCCTCTGCTGATGGCACTGCCGCCTGCATCCAGCCGGGGGCACCGTTGGGTCGGAATGCCACCACATACCCAAACCCTGGCCCATTTTGCAGCTCTTCTGGAACAGGCTACGAGACAGAACACAAATCTGATTCAATTGTCGAGATGAGCTGTAATAAAGCAGGTTACTGATTATTCATCTCTCTGTGTGATTTGTTTTACAAGTGCATTTGAGGTCGCGAGGCTGACACTGCAACATTATTCATATTAGTGGGCACTTACTGTCTGTGGCTTGGTCATCTATCAGCTACATTATATACGCCAGATTTAGTTTCATTAATTGAATTACTTTATCATTTAATTTCAGGAGACTCAAATCCTTCTCTCTCTCTCTCTCTATCTCATACACACACAAACTTCAAACCAACAAAGGAGAAAGGAGCTATTTAAAGGGCCCATATTGTGTCATTTTATAACTGTTTCCTCATCAGCAGTTAGCTTTTGTTTCATTCACACATGCTTAACACACAAACCCTTCATTTTTAGGCTAAGCGTTTTTAGTTTTAGGAGTTCTTCTCTCAAAACACTATGTTCCACTTATGAAGTCATGTTGTAACACAGGAAGTGCTCCAATGTGGTTTTAGACTCCATACCCCTTCACTAGAATAATTTGGATAATTTCAGCCCCGGAATTGCCACTCTCTACTAAACAAAAGGTAAAAGGTAGCTGTTAAACTGAAAACTGTTCATGACATCTCGAGGTAAAATGGAGGATTTGGAGCTTTGGAGATTTAGACAGAATAATAATAAAGAGTTACTCAAACATGTGTGAATGAAACAAAACCAACTCCTGGTATGCTTTTGAGAAGGTAACAACATTATAACATGGCTAAAAACTCATAAGAGTGAATTTTGTGTAATGTCGGATAAACAGTTAGCTGTGACTAGGGCAGGGCACTATGACTAAAAAGAACAAAAGAAGAATAACATTAGAATAGCATAAAGTTTTGTCCAATCTTAAAATAACTTGGACCTTGTGCTCAGCCTCCTGCAGATTTCCTGATTAACTTATACATTATTATACATTACTCAGATACTAATGACCTGTGACAACATCTAATATAGCACACTAATGCATTTATAGTTGTATGTAAACCTTATTATGTGTGCTGTTGTGTGTCTTGAACCACGGATGGTCTGGGAGGAAGAGAAATCTAATCTCATTGAGTCATTTCTCATTAAATAAAAGTTAAAGCATGCTTTGTTCATACACAAAGCACAAAAGAGCTATTAGTCCATTGCGTGTGGTACAGGAAAGACAGCATGAGACCTCTGCTAAGCGGTTGTCCACCCTCATAACATAGCTCATTCATTTATACATGCTTTTAATTTTGTTAAGAGATCCTCAGGTCGACCTTTGTAGCAGCAATTTTAGTTCTGTCGTAACATGTTAGGAACCATTAACTTGACACAAAGCTTTTGCTCTCCTGCAGGTTGATCATAGTTCACGGAACTTTCAGTTCACATGGAGCTTTTAAAAATAAGGTCTGCTGGGCCAGTAGGGTGCAGTGAGTGACAGCAAATTATGAGAATTAAGCTTTTGCCAAAATTATATCCAGACTTTAAATATAATTATTGTTAACATTAACTTTCTGACTACTTGCGTCAAATATCAAATGAAATGTCTTTTGTCCCATGTTAAAGAAAAGGTCCGTAGACTGTTCTCTTGCTGTTTTAAAATATACTACAATCAGTCACAACTGAACCTCGAATGCCACCGACTGAACCTGAAGACACATACATTTCTCAGTATATGAACAAGCCATGTCTCATGTGAAAGCTCAGAACCTCCAGAATTCACTCCCTGAGCTGCAGAAGCTGCACTAGCACTGATTCATGACTGGCTGCAGGTGCTGGGGTTTGGGTAGTGACCATTCAGATCAGAGAGAGTCCTTACTCAAGATTACTTTGACTTGACCCTGCAGTGGTTTATGGTTTGAGAACTTTCCTAATCTACTGTATAGTTATGTATTCTGCATGTAAAAGGTCCTTGCTTTGTTAGTGGGGATTCTCTGTATATGTATTGAACCACTGGCTCTTGTCTTGGATGAGTGTCAGCCCATACAAGTAGCCACTGTCTACGGTACGCCTCGTCTAATAATCCTATAGCTGCTGGGACATGCTCCAGCCATCCATGTACTGAATACATAAGAAATATCTCTTATGCATTAATTTAGACTTATTCTGATACACCCACACAGATATAACCATACCACACTGCTGCTTAAGGGACTAAGGAAAGTTAGCATCTTCTGAACTCATAGTTGTTGTGTATGTGAACTCTTTGGGCTATAAATAACCTCTCCCATTTGCCTCTTTCAAAAGTAAAAGGCCTGAGGAAAATTGAAAGCGCAGCAAAACAGTGTCTTTGTAAAACACAAGTGAATATTTAATTGAACTCTTCCGTTGTGTCGTCAACAGGCACTCCATGATGCGTGTCACAGCAGGGGCCGATGGTTCGAAACAGCCTGACTCAATGAAAGCATTTTGGAAGGAGCTTGATATGAGAGAGCGGCTTTGTAAATTTAAAGAAAAGAGCGGAAAGTATGGGAACAAAAGTGTGGAATAGATTTATTCAGTTTAATTATCTAAACCTCAAAAGTGTTCTGCAGCAGGCTGACAGCAGCAGTTATTGCCTGTCTGCTCAAAATGAAACACTATACATTGCAGGGAGGTTGTACGAGGAGCTCGTAGTGTTCTGATCAGGAGATGGCTGTGTGTGTCTGCAGAACTGGCATGGTTTCAAATTAATCAGGTCCACCGTTTTATTCAATAGCAATACACTGCTTCTTTTCTATATTTACAATAAGTGAGTGTATAATGATATCTATTGTATTATAGTTATGATTAATTTTCATTTATGATGGATGTGAGAAAATGAACCAAGGACACAATTCCTAATGAGTTGGAGAAGCAAGTGTATGGTCTGTTTTTAGTATTATTATAGAAGACTTATTATGCTAAAAAAAACCAACTATAACATACTGTACATCTTTCATTCTTTTACATTATGTTCATTATAATAATATGCGATCAACAACACAATTAAAAGTCCATTAAAGCTAACGTTAAAGGGATAGTTTGGGATTTTTGACATAAATCTGTATGTCGTCCCCGTGAGCAGTGTCGTGCATCCACACTGACTTACCCCCGACAGCGTCCGGTGAGCCCAGATACTGGCCGTTTTCGGTGCTGATGAAAGTAGTCCGGCAAGTTGACTGGGGACTGTATAATAAAGTGTTTTTCTTCTCAAAACAACATGTGTTCCAAAGACACACATTTGCATCACAAAACCATCGTCCTCAAAAAGGTCAGACCTCATAAACGCTTGGCACTGTTTTCTTTCCATTTGTATCACTGCGCGCTGCTGCCAGGTGACAGCCGTGCACGGATCCATCACTTTGTTCAGTTGTTCGGCAGTGTTTACATGCGCAGACCGCCACGACGCGAGAGAGTTAACATGAGAGCTAGAGCCATAAGTATATAAGCTTGTATAAGATACATAAGAATATATCTAAAAATGGTGCGAACTCTTGATTATCCAGGCTGTAACAACAAAAATCTGGCTGAATCTCCACACACGTCACCGTTTTCCTGTCACGGACTTTGTGCCGAGGAAACTTTGGCTGTCACCTGGTGGCAGCGAGCAGTGATACGAATGGAAAGAAAATAGTGCCAAGCGATTATGAGGTCTGACTTTTTTAAGGTTGATGGTTTTGTGATGCAAATGTATCACTCTTTTGAACACATATTGTTTTGAGAAGAAAACCGCTTTATTTTAATGTCCTCAGCCAACTTGCCAAACTACTTTCATCAGCAACGAAAACGGCCAGTATCTCGGCTCACTGGACGCTGTCGGGGGTAAGTCAGTGTTGATGCACGACACTGCTCACGGGGATGACATACAGATTCATGTCAAAAAACCCGAACTATCCCTTTAAAGAATATGTACCTTTAATGTTACAGAACATGTAATCTTTAACAAGGCATGGACCTGTGTGAACAATGTAGGCTGATTTTGGTGTGTCCCTTATTCTTTATCACACAAATATACAGCAATCTGCATAGACACTGGAGGCAGGTGAACTGTCTTTCCTCCTTGGGATTCAAACCCGCAACCTACGGATTTATGGCCAAACGCTAGGCCACTGAGCTACTGTTGCCCTTTTAAGGAAAAAAAAAAAATGTTTGTCAGGATTAAAACTACAAGGACTATGACACAGTAGTGAGATGACAGGCTGCTCTGTGTGTGGATTACCTCCCATGTGATGACTAGCTCTGAGCGGCTGCCTCCTCCTCCGCTCACGTTGGCTGGGGTCACCTTCGGGGCTGTGGAAGTACACACAGCAGCTTAGACATGTTGATTAGACACACAAAATATAGATGACACATGTACTACGTTTCCATGTGAAGACTGGTAAACCAATGTGGCATACTAGAACTAACATCTTCAAATCCTGTGTCACATATGCCAACTGGACTGTATTCATTCATTACATATACCTGACACATTTGTTTGTATGGGATTCAGGTATAAAAAATCCTTCCTGGTCAAAAGAAATTGGCATAGCAATGATCCTCCATTTTTAAACTAATAACACAATTCAAATCAGCAGTCTCGCCTCACAACAAAAAGGTTCTGGGCTCAACACCTCAGTTACCTCGGTCTATCTGTGTGACATTTGCATGTTTCAAACCAGTATGGGGGGGTTCCTCCAGGCACTCCGTTTTCCCCCATCGAACCAAAAGATGCACCATAGGTAAAATCCTCCAGCAAAGGTTGTTTTGACCAAGTCAGCACATGATCTGGAAATGGGTCCCTGGGGGTGGCATTGCTCACCCCCGTGGCCCAGCGGCATTATAGGATGGGACAGATTTTGTTACAAGGCAATAAAGTGTACCTTATCCTTAAAATATTATATTTTATATCTTTTGAATGGGAAAATGTCCTGAGGAAAAAAAAAAAAGGAAAGGATTCTTTACTCGAAACCCATGAATTCAATTTGGCATTTAACTGATCTTTCTTCTGTCTAACTGACCAAGTGATCACTTGTCAAACTTACTACAAACTTGATTAATGCATTAATGTATGTGTAAACATATTACACCAAAGCACAGTTGTACAGTCCTGTATCGCAATTCTCCATCAGAATCATAATCAGAATAATCAGAAGTACAGCATTTGTGAACTGTGACAATAATACCCACTTTGTGCAAACACCTATGTTCAATTAGCGGCACTTTAATTTACAGCATACATTACAGTATAGGATTGTTAGGGTATGGAAATATCATGGTAAATACACGTAATCAGTACACACATCTAGTTAATTTCATGGTGATATAATTAACACTAACACTCTACTGTAAATGACTACAAACATGGTTAACCTTTGTTTGTTTGTGTGCTGTAAAATAAAGTGCAACCATTCTAGTCTATGTGGATGTCATTTGTGTATTTATATTATTTAAGCAACTATACATTTAAAGTATAAGAAAAGCAGTAGCAATGGTGTGGTACGTACAGGTGCCTTTTGTCCGGGCTTGTTTGGACGGTTTGCTGGGCTCTCCAGTCCCAATGATGTTGCTGGCCAAGACTCGAAATTCATACTCCACCCATGGGCTCAGGTCTATTACGGTAGCTGTCAGCCGATGGCCCCCCACCACCTCAGGAACTGTCTCACACACACACACAAACACACACACACAAACACACACACAAACACACATCCACACAGCAGAAGCCTCATCAGTATCAACACATATGGGGGCTCACAGTGGAAGTTTGTGCTCTGCTCTGACAGGCCGGTATGACCACACCACAGGTTCAGAGGACATGGTAATCCCTTACAAGGACAGACTACATACAGGCTCTCTCTTAATATGAGCCACCGCACTCTCATACAAGTAACATCGTTGTCATAGTGTGCCGTTTTGTGCTGCTGGACAAAAGAAAACGCTTTAGTAAGGTGTAAAAAAATATATAACAAATAGATCAGTTCATGGAGCTCTTGTCCTTAAAGGAGCACTGTGTATCTTTTGTTGGAGGGCCCAAGGTTCTCTCCACAGAGATGTTGCCAGGAATGTTCCACAGTATGGCATTGCACTTATTTCTTATCTCTATGGAGACAGCAGGTTATGCCATAGGGTCAAGTTACATGTCAGAATTTTAAATAAATTAGAACCCATTTTATTGAGTAAATGCAAGATGGATAGGTTTAATGCCACACCAGGACTTCCAGACAAAGCAACATCTCCATGGTGACAAGCAGATGGCAGACCCTCCACTAGAAAAGTTACACAGTACACCTTTAATGTTCACACACATATGAAACTTTTCATATCTTTGTAATTATTACTTGATTTGGTGGAATAGTACCTGTGGTAAATATTTGAAGAAGACATTTTTTGAAAAGCTATGAAATACCTTCATTTAACAAAATAAAATTTGTCTTATCATAACTTGTGCACTTTAAACAAGTTTAATGATGCTGTTCACATCATGGTTGCTAGGCTACAATTATGGAATTAACTTGTAAATCTGATGTTCATGTCCAACGAGAAAGTAAAATTATAAACCAAAATTTAAAAGCTACAAAATGTTGTCTAACCTGTCATATGCACTTTCAATTTTATATTTTACATAACCACTTCAAAAACATTAATTAAAGCCAAGCTGTTCCAATTCTAAATGTCAGGGTGTTTGCTGTTAAATACAAGACAAAAAGTTTAGTAAAACCCAATAAAATGTACACTTTAGAATAAATATTAACAAGATGTCACATTAACCTGCCACACACAAGATCTCTCAGAAGCAAGTCATAATTCTAAAGGAGTTTGTGTCAAATTAACATTTTCTGATTTATTACGTTTATTACTTGTTTCATCTTATTATGAAAAAAATGATAAAAATGATAACCTAAGTTTCTAATCATTTTCAGCAATGTATTAATATGAGGACCGGGCAGTATATTTGTGCCTACATTGTGTTAGTACATTATTGGCTTCCAGAGTGAATATTTTGTGAAGCTGTTCAAACTTTTAAAGGCCACAATGGTCACAGAATTTATTTTGATTTGCCCACTCAAAGGATTGTTTTACTAGTAGCTACTGCGTTAAAAGCTTGTTTTTCTTTTGAGATCTGCCAGCAAGGTCACAAAGCTCTCAGTTTCTGGGGTGGCAAATCAATGAGGCCACTAAAACTATCTAAAGTGTTCATAACTCACAAAAAATATCAATAAAAGGATGTATAGTGCGGGATAAATATACAATATACCAATCACACATGACTGGGGAAGGCTCCATTAAATAGGACGCGGGCACAATTACACCAGTATCTACAATGCTATCACTTAAGTACACTATCACATTACACTGCTAACAACAAGCTCCATCTCCGCAATGAGATCCATGCTTCAGGACTCCCAGGAGTGCGATAAAATGGCGGTCAATGGTCACTCTGCAATTGTGTGCCATTTGGTGCTGGGATAAAAATTACTTCTCCAATATTGAGCTTGGGAGGTAGGGTGGAGATAGTGGAGAGTTAGCACCGCCCCCCTCCTCCATGTGGTAGACGAGTCATGCACGGCTGGGTGGAGAGCTTACCTGTGGTGACAGCCTGCCACCCCAGGGAGAAGGGTGTCCGGGCCTGGATGGTGTATGCCGTAATTGGGCTGTGATTATCGGGACCAGGCCTCCAGGACAGAGACGCTGTGGTGTCAGTGATTTCTTCAACATTGATGCTGGTGGGGGGCCCCGGGGGACCTGAGAAGAGGCATAGCCAGGCAGGAGAAAGGACAGAGATAGGGAGAATAGCAGTGGGGCATGTAAATCACACAGCGGTTTATACCTGCGGCTAGCACAGCAAAGTCAACTCGCAATGATACCTTCAGGGAATCTGGCTCTAATTAGACAGAACATTTCAGACTTCAACAGGAGAATATGGCTCCGACAGTGTGGGTAAAAATATGAATTCAAACAAGTGGGACAGCATCACAGCCTATAACCTCTCATGTAAATGTCACATGACCTGCCACGTCATTCTACCTAAAATATCACTGAAATTTTTTTATGTGCATGCTTTTCTTTTAAGGAGGGGGTATTTGACATCTGTGGGGTATTAACTGCATATTTAGATCACCATGTTACCTTTTATTGTTTTGAAAATGCTATATTTGTGGGAAACAATATATTTTTTACTTTTACGTTTATTTTTGACACTAATACTCCTCCTTTTGCTCACTCCCCCTTCAGAGCACTATCATCTCACAATCAACATGCATGAAAACATGGATTTCATCTAAAACCTCTTCATTTCACAGAGTTCAAGTTAATTTGTAATGATTGTTTATGCTTTTATTAGTTTGTATGCTGGTTTTACCGTCTCTGTTATTCTATGAAGCACTCACTTTGAATGCTTTCAGATTATGCTCTACAAATGAACTTTGCCCTTTCATTGCATATTACATATACATTAAGACTTGTAATATATATATATATTTAATTATTTATTATTGTGATGCACAAGTTTCTTTGTTGAGTTTGATGTGGATTAAATGTGTTCTGACAAGTGAACATGATCGCACTTTATCCTCTGCACTACTAAAGGATCCATTTTAAGGTTTATCGATTCCTTTTAAGTCAAGACAAGCTGAGGCCTTACTACCAGACTAAATCTGACCTAGAATACTAATGACACTTTTACCTTGAATACGGCAGGTATAGAAAAGTATCTGCTTCAGAACTCACAAGTTTTACTTAAAGTTGGTCATGCAAGTTCATAATGCTCTTCATATGGGCTGCAATGGGATAATTACTGCCTTCCCACTCACTGACTTTCAAGTTAATGTTTGTTGTTACTAACAGATATTTACTATAACTCCCCTGCTTCAAACATAGTAGAAGATCTAAACTTAATGAATCTTCCCCTAGTCTTCTAGAGGGCGCTCTTAGTTTAACCTCCCCTTTTACAGTGTACAGCTCTGAGTACCTCATCTCTTTCACTCTGAATCATGTTTTTTTTTTATTCATATGGTAACAAATTCTAACATAATTCCCATTTCCATATATTCCATCCACCCATCCTATCATCTGTGTAATCCCTCAGTTATTTAGGTAGGATCCTAGGGCTAGCGCCACCTAATGCCTCCGCTCAATTTAATTTCTCTCCAGCGACTAGTTCAGAAATCAGAATACACTAGACAGTTCGCAAAAACCCCGGAAGAGTGAGTTTGGGCACCAGCCAATCAGCGAAGAGCCATATATTCTGTGTTGGCAACAATTCCCAAGATTGCGGATTTAAAGCCGGAATAAAGAGAATGTTTTGTGAATTTTATCAAGGGGAAAGACGTTATTGTCCGTCTTCCTACAAGATTTGGGAAAAGATTAATATACCAGTTAGTCCCGTTAGTGCTGCATTACATACATCACGACCAAATAGCAGCGATTGGCTAAATGAAAAAAAGTACCTGCCTACCGACGAGCGAACAAATTCTAACACTGTGAGGTCAGACAGTTTTTATGAAGTGAAACTGGCTGATGAATCAGGCTAGTAGGATCCATAGCAAAAGAAACATTTTATTCTGTCAACTAGACAAAAGTTTTTCACTCTTCATGTCTTTACTCATTTAATTTTTCTTTTGCCACCCATCCTATTATAATATATCTGTACTAGGGGGGGCTCTTGATCTATACATCCCCCCCTTTTTTTCCAATTCTGCTTGTCCTGGGCACTCTCTTCCTCCTCACCAGTGCATCAATAATTCAAGGGAACACCTATACATAGGTAGCAGGAGTGGGCTGTCAGTGGTCATTTGGGTTGAAGCATGTTCACTGGCAGTGAGTGTGTAGGCAGCAGTAAGATGGCCGCTCCCAGTTGTGGCTTACCTCTGACAACCAGGTCCACCGCGATGGAGATGCTGTCCACCTTAGTTTGAACAGCACACGTGTATTTCCCAGCATGCCTCAGCTGAATGTTCCGAATCATAATGTCTCCCGCTGAATGCTGCTGTCATTCACAAGAACGCACAAACACACACAGCTCCATGAGTAACTAGATGTAAGCCCGAGTTCATTATAATGCAACAATACGGCGTTCTGACCTCATGGGACCTAAAGCACTCAGAAAGAAAAAAATATCCATGTTTAGACCTGTGCTATATATTCCACTAATGCACTTTGCATATTACCAGAGGTGGATTAATACACAAAAAATGTATAAGTGGTGTCACGTGTGTTCATATTCTTATTATTTAATAGGGGGTATGGTCACGTTTTAAAGTTTCTCTAGATTTCATGTTTACATTAGGCCAAAATTAAAAAAAAAGACATATGCTTAAAACTGCAAATAAACTAAACATCAATAATTAATATAGGACATGCCTTATTAATAATGTTTCAGAAAAACTGTTACAAAATGTTCAACTGTAAAATCCATGCTGAGTTGAATGTGCAGTGTGGAGTCGGTGTACTATATGGGGGGAGGGGGGTATGTAAATTTCACTTGAAAATAAACCACAGGCAGCAATTTTTGGCCATAAATAATACACATGATACAAACATTTCCTCTGCACTGCGGCAGAATATATTATGACCCAGCTAAAAGAAGGAAGCACAATATTGATGTTCCATTGAATCATTGGAGGGACCTCATGGCCTTTGTAATAAACAGAATAATTAATTTGTCGAGTGGATTTTATCACAAACATTGCATTACATAAATGAGCAGTGAACTCTCATGGACTTTAACATAGAATGAAACTTATTTATTAACTGTACTACAGTGTATGAGATCCTATGAACACACTGAAACAGATTAACTGCCATGAGTGGCTGCAGCTGTTGGCAGAGAGTATAATTTTGTCTGTGGAATCAGTGAGCTACAATTCTCCCGCAAAAACAAAACACATGATTATAGTTAACATATTCATCCCAAATGGACACTTCATTTGGGAGTTAATTGTTTCGAGTTACAGTTTGTATTTTGTCTCCACTTAGCATAGTCTATAATTGAATTTTGAATGTGCGATTGGGTGTTTATAAAATCCACTTTAAAAGCTGGAAATGGTTCGGCTCTCCAAGCTCTTTCCTATTTTAATGTTTCACTGGATGAAAATGATTACTCTAAAAGCAATTACGAATTACAATATTACAATTTAGATTACTTAGCAACTAAAAGTAATATATTAACTTACTATCATAAAACTGGTGTTTTTCAAATTCTAAAATGTGGTGATATGATACTGCCAAACAGTCTTCCCATTTGATAATATTATATTTTACTATGAAATATCCAAAAGATAAACTCACAAATGTTGAACCTGATCATTTATGACTAGGCCCTAGAGCTTGCTACTTTAAAACATACACTACATCTGCCTTTTATCTATATTCATTTTAGCCGCCCACCTGTATTAAACATTACTGGCCTACACAGTGTTGTCTCATCTGAAACCCAACACACCACATTTTGGGTTTGCATGACCGTTAAGGCTTTCGCCACTATAACCAACGCAAGAGAGAACTTACTCCGCCCACTTTCTCAAAGAATCCTCCATGGCTGCCGAAGTGGATGAGCTGCTCGTTGAAGAACCAGGTGAACTTGAGCTCCAGGGAGGGGTCGTGGCTAACCTGGCAGGGCAGCACCACGCTCTCCCCCACCGTCACATCCAGAGTGTTGGGCTGTGATGTGATGATGGTCGGCTCTGGAATAAAACACAGACGGTGACTTTCCACATTAGGTTTGTGATCTATAAAACTACTACTACTTTACACAGAAATTAATGTTACTATCCATAAACTCCGAACTGTGCACTGGAGCTTTCAGAGGTGAGAGGAGTTTCTGAGTTCAGAGCAAAAAGTGTCCTCTCTAGTTGAAAGTCCACTATGCAATAATTGAGATTGTTTTAAAGAACAGATATTATAATGCACTGATCCCATATGGAAAAGATATAGACAAATCATACACCATTTTAACATGTTTTATATGAATCCTTAAAAGATTTGTATATGACAGTGAAAACAGTTACAAGATCTTTGGTAAATATGTGCAGCATGAAACATATAAAACTATGTAACCTACAAGGCCTGTATATGACACTAATCCCACAAACAATCTCCTCACAAGTGTTGGACAAAAGTCATTTTTAAAACAGAATCAAAGAAAAAAAAGTGAAATGATGATTGTTTCCTTAAACTCGATTGCTGTGTGTGTGTGTGTGTGTGTATGAGAGTGAGAAAGAAAATGATCGCAGTGTGTGTCTGTGTGTGTGTTTGTATGTGTGTGTGTTTGTGTTTGTATGTATGTGTGTGTGTGTGTGTTTGTGTGTGTGCGCGCGCATGTGTTTGTGTTTGTATGTCTGTGTGTTTGTATGTGTGTGTGTGTTTGTGTGCGCGCGTGTGTGTGTATGTGTGTGTGTATGCGTGTGTGTATGCGTGTGTGTGTTTGTGTGTGTGTGTTTGTGTATGTGTTTGTGTGTGTTGGGGTGTGTGTGTATGTGTGTGTGTGTTTGTGTGCGCGTGTTGTGTGTATGTGTGTGTGTATGCGTGTGTGTATGCGTGTGTGTGTTTGTGTGTGTGTGTTTGTGTATGTGTTTGTGTGTGTTGGGGTGTGTGTGTATGTGTGTGTGTGTTTGTGTGTGTGTGTTTGTGTATGTGTGTGTGTGTGTGTGTGTGTGTGTGTGTTTGTGTGCGCGCGTGTGTGTGTATGTGTGTGTGTATGCGTGTGTGTATGTGTGTGTGTGTTTGTGTGTGTGTGTTTGTGTATGTGTCTGTGTGTGTGTGTGTGTTGGGCAGTATGGGGGTAAACACAGTAATACAAATATTGCATTACAACCTTAAAAAACATCTTCCACTGATATCACAGTGAACAAACATCAGGCTGTAAAAATATTTTTACTCTGCAAAATCCTGTAGCCACTTTCCTTGTTGCCTCTTCGAGGAACCATTTGCTTGTGGGAGACCAAGGTACTTGTAACTGTCCTCTACACCTGCTATAGTTCTAACTTAACTAGTAGTTGGTTACTTCAACTGGTGAGTCACTGGACTTTCACATGGGAGACCTGGGTTCAAATCCCACTTCTGACATTGACTTTGTTTAGTTTTTTTTTAACTACAACATATAATTAAAGAACACAAACATTACACAGAACATACAAAGAAAATGTAGTTGATCATGCACATTACCTGTAAATATCATGCAAAATGTTCACTTTATCTTTACTAGTTTTTTTATAATGTGGTATGAGAAAAATGTAAAAGGGGGACACTTTCAGGAGTAAACCACACATGACACATATTAACCTTATATAAAGATTTACTACAAAGACAGTGGTAAATTCTTTTATTTTTTTTCCTGTTTTTTTCCATATGGGATACTTTGCAGCTGATCTCATTAACATTCTCGGGTGTTATGATGCTAACCGTAGGAACTGCTTTGTCTGAGGCTTTGTTAGACTTGAACCAGAGCTTTATTTTACTATAATCTGACCAAGAAGAACTGAAACTTCAGCACTGTGAAAATGTATTGTTTAAATCCATTTTGAATTTTTCTTGAGTTTTCAGACTAGACAAAACACCCTGAAGAAACAGATGAAAAGGAGATGCAGTTATTTGAAAGCAGTTTTGAACAGGTGAGTGTTCAGGGCTTTGTTGAAGATGGTGAGTGCACTAGATGAGTCTCTGATGTGTTTGGGCAGGGCAACATAAATCCATATGTATAGTATTCAACACGCGCAAACATCTCCGAGCTTCATTTATTTTTCATCTACACAAATAACTTATGTCATCAGATATTTCTTGGCTACCGTGCAGTCTCATTGATATGCCTGTACTTGGGCTCACACTTTCACATTTGATCAGGTCCACTTTTCAGCACCAAATTATCCCGTGCGGCAAATGGCTTTACAAAAACCGTGCCCTTCCGTCATCGTTATGAATATGTCAGGGCCAGGCTGAGCTAAATAGAGGGATATACAGGACAGAGCACACGGCAAACTGGAGCACGCAGCCACAATAACTGGTATTAGCCCCGGGTCTGAGCTGGTCTCCGCGGGGACCCACACAAGCTGCTATGTGTCACTGTCAAACCCAGCCTTCAGCTCAACTACTACGCCCCGATCAGCCTCCAATTCCCATGATGCACTGCTAGAAAAACAGTAAACATCAAGCCAGTACTTCTATTCAAGCCTGCAGTGCATTACAACACCTCCACATGGGAACAAGCCACCTTATCTGCTCCCGGATGTGAGAACTGGATAGAGAAACGTTAAGATCTGTCAAAGTTGTAGAGCACCGGGTGTCCTCTTGGGGGCGCTGTGATCATTTGGCTCTAATTTCAGGGTAAATTAACCATGGCAAACGATCCCTGGACAGGCATAGATTCATGTAGAAAGTGCCGGCAGTGCAGTCTTCATTGCGATTGAATCTGATACCCTCTTTGCATTGTTCCCCCTCCCCTCATCCTCTCCAGCCTACGCCTCGGTGTGACTTATTTAGTTCTATTCTGATATCTGGTCAGACTACTATCAGCACTGGGGTTTTGTCGTGTACACAATGAGAGCATGTCTGGCATAGCTGAAGTTAAATGGTAAAAAAATGGCAGGAAGAATGTCATAGCTATTCAAAGCTCTCTTTTTACCTGAAGCACCACTGCAGGAAGGAAATGGGAAATATAAAAAAAGGTTAAGAAACACTCCACAAGGACCAATGACTGTTCTGAAGTGCTTTACAAAAGGAGACACGGGGGATTTTTTTTTTTTTTCTCTTTTACTTTTTTCCTTTGTAGAATCTGATTGAAATTGTATGAAAGATTTACGAAAATCCAAATGGTTACACTGGTGCAATACCTTTGTTATCAGAGATTATATTTTATTACACATGACACAATGAATAGTTGGATATTTGAATAGATACCAAAGATGGTTTTCAAATAATAATACAATTCTAGTTAAATATGAATTCAAATGAAAGAGGATGACAGAATAAGGCCATGGATTTGCCCTGCTTGTTTTGAGGACTGCCTGTAGTTCTCATTCAGGGAGAATTTGTAAAATATGATTAATATATTCTGAGCAGAGGACATTAACAACAAAGCAGGAATAGGTTTATATTTCTAGATATGACCATAAATTGAATATAAATTGATCACTGGTCATCATTTCTTTTGACTAGACGTTACATAGTGTTTCTAACAGGTTTCTACTGAAAATATGGAATAGTAATAATTTTAAAAACAAAAGCCTTCGTGCACAATAGCCTCACTCTTCACGTCACTACTTCCTATCCAATTTTATCTCTATGTGGTTTTTGCAAAGTGATGCTAAAGTGAATAAATATTTAAAGATGAGGAAGTGGACAGGGAGATGCGGGTGGATGTCGCGGACACGTTAAGAAGTACACAAATAAAAAGAATACTTCAGCTGAGGGCGCTTCTGTGTTTAGAAAGAGATGTTCATGTTTGTCTCAGTGCGCCACAAACTGATGTACTCCACATGAAAAAATTGTTGGGAAGTCTTTATTTTAAATTAATTTGAATTTGAATAGGTTGTTTTCAATTTTCAATTACAGTAAATAAGTCAGGTTTTCCCTCTAAGAATTTAGTAAATATTTGAATAATAATAATAATAATAATACAAGCTAAAAGTTGCATTTTTAATATAACCAATTTATTTTGTTAGACTACGGGGGCAAACATTCGACTATGGGGGGCCACCAGTCAGTAATGTGAAACACTGAGTAACACAAGCACGTTCAATACATCAACAACAGCATATGTATTGACCTTTCATATACTGGAAGCATTTCACTACAAATCACAGCACTGCACGAAAGCCATCTGTTTCTGCCGCAGACTACATCATCTCCTTGTGTACTCATCTCATTGTGGTTTGACTTTCTGGGCCCTTGCTGCCTCCAGGGATTCTGTGGAACCACCATGTTGGGATTTCACAGCCTTATTACTCTCCTCTGTCATCATTTGTGACAGATTATGTGGGCTACGAGGCCAGTTATCCTCCTGCATGCTGGGGTTGGGAAGCATGATTTGATTGATTTCTATCTTGTCTAATGCCCTGTTACCTACTGCCAATGTCAACACGAGGATGGTAGCTCACTCACTTAGCGGGGTCAATCAGATCCCAGGCAAGTGTGTGTCATGTAGTGAGACAGCCTGGTGCCAGCCCAAACACCTGGTCACCCTCAATATGATTAAGACCGATAAGCTGATTGTGGGGAGTGAACAGAAAGGTCTTGCTACCAAATGGAGGCTCTTGTATTGGAAAATGGTGTTTGAAATCTCCACAATGCGTTAGGAGTAACAATCATTTTTTCAATAGCAAAGTGACACCAGAATGTTGTAACTCATTCACTTAGATGGGCGTAAAATAAATACAGCAGTCTGCAGCTTGCAAGTGGCAATAGCTCAGTGGGCCGAGGTACAAACTGGATATACAGTATATATACTGATGTGGTGACTGATTTTTTATTTTAATGGCAATGCTGATAGTAATTGCTTTGGATCTAGAGTAACCGATGGCCGATACGCCCTGCTGATATTATTATTATATAATTTCCCCACATGATGTATTTTAAAGTTACTATTAGCTCATCAACGCCCTTTTTACTACTACTACTTGGGGCATAAAATGTTTTGTGCAGTTATCTTTTCACACTAATATATGTTATTCAAATTAAGTTTTCTGTGTAT